TTATTTATTTTTAATCACATTCAGAATTTAGTTACCTACCGTTTACCTAAACCGCTAAGCCTCTTGGGCTTGCCGATCATAAGGTCGGCAGTTCGAATCCCCGTGACGGAGTGAGCTCCCGTCGCTCTGTCCCAGCTCCTGCCAACCTAGCAGTTCGAAAGCACGCCAGCACAAGTAGATAGATAGGTACCCCTGTGGCGGGAAGGTAAACAGCGTTTCTGTGTGCTCTGGTTTCCGTCACGGTGTCCCGTTGCGCCAGAAGCGGTTTAGTCATGCTAGCCACATGACCCGGAAAGCTGTCTGCAGACAAACGCCGGCTCCCTCGGCCTGAAAGTGAGATGAGTGCCGCAACCCCACAGTTGCCTTTGGCTGGACTTAACTGTCCAGGGGTCCTTTACATTTTACCTATAGGTAAAGGTAAAGGGACCCCTGACCATTAGGTCCAGTTGTGACAGACTCTGGGGTTGCGGCGTTCATCTCGCTTTATTGGCCGAGGGAGCTGGCGTACAGCTTCCAGGTCATGTGGCCAGCATGGCTAAGCCGCTTCTGGCGAACCAGAGCAGCGCACAGAAACGCTGTTTACCTTCCCGCCAGAGCGGTACCTATTTATCTACTTGCCTGATGTGCTTCGACTGCTAGGTGACATGAGCAGACGAGCAGAGCTCACCCCGTCACGGGGATTCGAACTACCGACCTTCTGATCGGCAAGTCCTAGGCTCTGTGGTTTAACCCACAGCGCCACCCGTGTCCCCCTTTTACCTATACACCCACAATAAAACACCAATGTGGAGGGGCCCTTGATAATTGACAATCAGCAGTCTCTTAAGTATTCACCGGGCCTGTTTTTCTCTCTCTCCTTCCTCCCTCCTCGCACCATTTAGCATGTCCTGAATCATAGACCTAAAGAACGACCCAGAACGATGCATTACCCATTGTAAAATGACCTTCCTGGTGTTAAGACCACACGACCATCCTCAGTTCCATCCAACCAAGGAATCAGCCTTTCTTAATCTGCCTAAAAGGTATTCCATTGCACACAAGAACGAACTTTCCAGCAAAGGCTCTGAGTGGCAAACCCCTTGCTGAGAGATGCAAGCACCTTCCATCTTTAAAAAGCAACAACGTTGGGATATTACAAAATCCAGCCTAAAATGGAGAACTCCGGTTTATACATCGAAAGCCTCCTCCGTTTGGTTGCTGCAGGTCAGCATAGCGACATCGGGATGGAAAAGCACACATCCATTCTTAATTCCTTGCCGGACGCATCTGAAAGGAAACTGTTGCTCTGTGCATTCATTGGGTCAGGAAGAACTGCGGTAGCAAACCTTTGTCCCCTTCTGAATGAAGTTTGTGCATGCCTGTTCCGGTATAGATACAGAGCACCTATCTGGGGTTTTTTTGCCTCATCCGTTTCCCAAATGCACCCCTGGCGCTATTTTTTTTTACCACTTGAGCTCATGGTGAAGTCTCACGCGGGAAATGATGTACAGATCGTTTTTATTTGTTGCATCCTCTCTCCTGAATGGGTCTGTCTCTGAATCTTGGGTACCAGATATCGCAAGTGTTGTAACAATGCCCATTCATACACTAGTCAGTGTAAAGATGCAAATATACTCACAGGGCGGTGGGATTTGCACAGTTTTAGTCAGTTTCAGAACACTGGACAATCGCCTCCTCCCGAATTCTGCCTCCAAACATCTGAGGCAAGATGCAAGCACATGAAAACACAGTCCACATCTCCCCAAGCAAGGAGAAGGGAGCACTTGAGTCAGATTAGAAAGTGCACACATTTAGAACAGGAAAATGAGTACGCAACATGACTTAAAAACACTTTTTCTAAAGCCACATATGTATACCCATCTTCCGCCCTAATGAACATGGGAGTGGCTCCCATTTTATCCTAGAAAAACGACAGCAAAACCCTGCAAGACATTTAGGTTAGGTTGAAAGATCACAGCTGAGTAGAAATTTGAACCCAGGTCTCTGTGCTTAGAATCACACAATCCACTTCCCGCACTGATGTTGCAGGACAGGAAGGCAGTTCACTCACACAAAATCCTGAGATCGGGGAAAAAGGTAGCGCATGCGCGCCCAATGCACACACTTAGATTTAATCTATGCACTTAAAATGTGACCCAGTCGTTTCGATCCAAGAAGAACAGAAAACCTTGAAGTCCACATTCAGATAGTTGCTGTTTTGGTTGTCCATACAGTTCCACACCAGAGGGCAGCAGTGGCAAAATTACATGTGCAAGCTTGATTTTCCAGGGAGTCTTCCAAATGCCAGCGTAACAGAAGGCTTCCTTTGCTTTTGTGTGTCTGCAGAGGAGCGTGGAACAGTTGGCTTGCCTGTTTTTCTTCTCATTTGATACGTAACACCTAACCCTGAACAAGTAGGCAGGAGAGCTTGCGACGTAATGGGGATCGATCTTCAACAATGGCTTTAAAGGACCGGTCTGTTTCGTTTGCGAAAGAAAGGAATCTAGCCCTATCTGCAGAAGCTTTGGGAATGTCTTCTTTGCATAGCAGAATGCGTGAGTTCCTGAACACTTCAATCATACCTCTCTACTGACAATGGAAGTAGAATCCATACCCCATAGAGCCCTATGGGGTCACCTTACGAGCAGATGTGTTCACAACTGCAAATGATCAAACATCTGGGAAATGTATGGTTCGCAATCATTTCTAAAAACTTCTCTCTCGTGGATGGAACATTTATAAAAGCAAAAAGAGCTGCAAAGACATCTATCAGTTTGGATATGAAATAGTCTCAACTGGATTTTTTGAAAGTGCATTTTAAGCTGGGAGGGAGGGGTAGAAAACATGACAGCTGACACGTGTATATCAGGATACGCTGGGAACTGCATTGAGGAGTGTTTACCTGCTCTTCCACCATTCTACAAAGAGAAACGTGGAACGTATTGGCAGTCTCCAAAGAGACTCATTCAGGACCACAGATTTGCACAACCTTCTCTGGAAACAAATGGGGTGACAATTCTTTTCGATATCTTTGCCAGTTTCTCTATGCTTGGTTTTAAAAGGGTGTGTTTGCCTTGTAATCGTGGGCACCAGAGGGAAGAATATGGGGCTGCTTGGTTTTAAAGCAGGGATGGGTAATCTGTGGCACTGCGGATGTTGGGACTACATACCCCATCATCCTTGACCATTGCCCAAGTTGGCTAAAGCTGTTGGGACTTGCAGTCTGACATCATCTGGAGGGTCAACCCCTATCCCTGGGTTACTGCTAAAGAGGAGGAAATGTGTCCCCACCCACAAAGTGAAATGAGCATGGTTTGGGGAAATGGCCTTAATCACATCTACTATCATGGTCTGTAATGGTTAAACTTACTGAACCAAACCTATATCTGAAATCTCTAAGGATGATCTCTCAGTGGCTTTTACAAGTTTTTTCTCCATCGGCTTCACTATGGCTTGCCGTGAACGAACAAGCTTGCTTGTGCCCAAAGAGAAAATTGTGCCTGCGTTTCTCCTCCTGCAACCAACTGTTGATGTTCCATGGTTTCTCTCGCTCCCCCAAAAGACCTAAGTTCTAACCAAAGTTTGGTCTTGGTTTAGCACTCATGCTTTATTTGGGGGACTCAGATTTAACATGACATCAGAACTTGGGGAGGAGCACAGCGGGTGTAATTTCTGTCTGGGCACCAGGGCCAAATTTTGGCTTGCTGTTGCGTGTGAAACGGGCCACAGGCCGCATTTGCACATGACTAAAGCCATGCTAAACCATGGTTTGGCCAACTAAACCATGGTTTCGTCAACAAACGACAAGCCGTCTCACAGGGAAGCGGAGAAACATGGCTTGTTTCCCCAAAGCTGCTCCTGGTCTTGGGCCTCTGCAAGTAGGGTGTCCATACAAAGCATGGTTAAATAGGGTTGTTGGGTTTCTATGTAATGCCAACCTCTAGTTTAAAACAAGCCATGGTTCATAAGCCAACAGCAAAAAGGCTTCACATCGTGGTTTATTAACAGAACGCAAAACAAGGTTAGTCTGCTGGGCTGGGTTCATATGCTTAAACCATGACCCAGTGTTATGTGTGAACTGAGGCGATATTGGCTGAATGCTGGAGATCAGAATATCAGGTCTTTTGGTCAACACTTGGGGGGGATGAGTTTTTAAAAAACAAAAAGGCACTACAGAATGAACACAGGGGGAAACCCACTAAACGTCCAAGGCAAGCCACACCAAAATTCAGAAACTGAATTCAACGTGGCTTCTACAGAAAATTTCCCCAGGTGCTGTACTTACCTGAAGTTGATGTACCGTATTTTTTGCTCTATAAGACTTTTTCCCTCCTAAAAAGTAAGAGGAAATATGTGTGCGTCTTATGGAGCGAATGCAGGCTGCGCAGCTATCCCAGAAGCCAGAACAGCAAGAGGGATCGCTGCTTTCGCTGCGCAGGGATCCCTCTTGCTGTTCTGGCTTGTGGGATTCAGAATATTTTTTTCTTGTTTTCCTCCTCCAAAAACTAGGTGCGTCTTATGGTCTGGAGCGTCTTATAGAGGGGAAAATATGGGTAATTCAGTCTTCTCTGAAATAAAGGAGCCCTACCAAATCTCGTTCTGTTCTTCTATGAAACATCTGGGTTCTGCAGTGCAGATGTTCGAATGTCAGACTTAGATCAGGGAGACCCGGGTTCAAATTCCCACTCAGCTATGAAGCTCGCTAGGTAACCTTTTGCGGCTGCTATCTCTCAGCCTGACCTACCTAACAGGAGGCTAAAATTCGGGAGAACAACATAAAGTGCATTGAGCTCATTGGAGGAGATTGGATAGAAATACAACAGTTTTTATACCCAGTTTTAAGGCCAGCAATATGGCCTTTAAAATGCTTTCTAGAACAAACTAACAAACCCAAACTAGGCAACTGCTTTCAGTGCAAATAATTAGACCTGTGTAATACGGTATACATAGAGGGTAAATAATGAAACTGCTCATTGCCCTTTATTGGGTAGGTGTCTTGAATGTGTGAATGTTTGAAAACTCCTTATGTGCAAGTACAGAATTTCCCTTATTCCTTATTCAAACCTATTCCCCCAAATGAAGGGAGGCAAGATAAATCCATCACACCCCTCCGATATTCGGTGGTAGTCAAGACTGAGTGTGAAAGTGCAGGAAAATGTGGCGAGTTTGGGCTCTGATCGAACTTCCTGCGAATCTCGGCTTTACTTTTTTTAAAAAAACCAAAAACGCACATCAATTTTTTTGTGCGTATGGCTGTGAAGAAATACTGTATCGTGCATAGCCAATACCTGCTGAGATTTTGGGGGAGCGTGGAAAGGGATCTGAGCAAGATTCTGAGAAACAGGTAGGGGCAAGACTACTGAACAAAGCAGCTTTCATCTCACGGAGTTATGTAAAATAAAATAAAAATCAGTAGAAAGGGATAGAGCAAATATTCTTCATTGGTATGGTTTATACTAGTTGCAAGAATCTGCTTTTTTGATGCAGATGTTTGGATTACCGAACTATGGATTATTATTTTTTAAAGTGCAGCAGATCTTAAGTCTGGTCCAGAAGGGCTCTTATTAAAACTAGTCAAATTCATGGAGGAAAGGTCTTAAATTGTTTTAAAAAAATATTTAGCTGTAGTGAAGCTAAATGGAGCTTCCGCGTTCAAGTGCAATCTACCTTCAAATACCAGTTGAGGGGGGAGTAGCAGTCCTACTTGAGGGCTTCCCAGAAGCAGCTGGCTGGCCACTGTAACAGAATCGTAGAATTGCAGAGTACAACCCCCTACAATGCAGGAATCTCAGTATCAGAAAAAGGAAATAAAAATTCTGGATTAGATAAACACTTATTCTAAATAGTTATGCATCCTCTCCTATTGATTCACTCCGGCCGAATCATAATCAAAACTCACTTTGCGGAGCATTTAAACATTTTGGGCGTTTTTGTCCTCCATGTACCGAAAACTGCTACATTTTTGGCACCTAAAGTATTTTCTTCCCCTGGAAGAGCAAGGCACAGGTTTGTAAAAACCTAGCTTTTCCTTAACCAAATGCTGAATTTGTGCAATTGCGCTTTTTATCCACATTCTCTGATCGGTTTTGAGACATTTTTTGCAGCTGGGGTGGGGTGGAATAGGTGGGACTCCAATAAGGGAATGTAAATTGGATTTTGCTTTGAGCTAAAATTAGTCGATTGAATGATGAAGGGGAAGTGGGGGGAAGGACACACCTTTGCATGAAATTTGCATATGCTGATTTAAATGTATAGCTGTAAATTTAGAAATGCAGAAAGCACGTCAAAGTGCAAGTAGATAAATAGGTACAGCTCCAGCGGGAAGGTAAATGGCGTTTCCGTGCGCTGCTCTGGTTCAACAGAAGCGGCTTAGTCCTGCTGGCCACATACCCGGAAGCTGTATGCCGGCTCCCTCGGCCAGTAAAGCGAGATGAGCGCCGCAACCCCAGAGTCGGCCACGACTGGACCTAATGGTCAGGGGTCCCTTAACCTTTACCTAAATTTAGAATAGCTGAAAGAAGTGCAGTCTATCTCACCACGGTGGGGAAGGCTATGACCAAGTTACCTGCATGCGCCACAACTTCAACGCCCCTCATTTCTCCCTTCGTAGGACTCTTTATCTTTCAGATAGACTTAGGACTTTCCCCTTCACATACTCTATTTAATAAACAGAGAACTGTTCTTTGACAGGTGTTTAAATGGACTGCAAAAAATAGGACCTGTTGCCTTTCTCTGAATAAAGTATAATGGTACAAATCCATCACTGAAAAATGTAAAAAGGACTATAGATCTAATAATGGAGAATTATAATGGGCAGACTTGATTAAAGAAGCACTTTCACACAGTAAAATGTTTTGCATCAAACTGGAATGGCGATACTGTAAGATATTTTATTTAAGCGCTCAACAATCTGAGCAACGTTTTGCCATGTGTTTAAGGAACAGGAAACAGTTGTTTCATGCTTTCTGTTCCTCCGTATTGACCTAATATCAGAAACATATCCGTTTGCGATGGAGAGATAAAATCTTCTTTTTTTTAGCAATACCACGATGCTGATAAATTAAGGTAGTTATAAAACGGGTGGCTTTTGAACCACAAGATGTGTTGCTGTGTCACACAGTGGTGAGATTGCGACAGGGTTAACCAATTTGCAAAGGTTGAAATCCAAAACTGATAATATAAACGCTAGGATTTCATAATGTTGTTTGATGCCCCCCTCCCTGGCAGAAAGCTGTGCAATCTATTTCTTTCCATTCATCCCTTACATTTGCAAACCACCTTTCTTCCAAAGGGCAAAAATCAGCATGTGTAATTCTCCTCTTCTTCTCTCACTTTCTCCCTCACGACAACCCTGAGAGGTAGGTTTCTGCTGCTGTACCATAAAATGGAAAATGGTGTACTATTTTAGAGCATACCTCAGTACAATTCCTAACCTCTCATTCCTTCCTCTTGCCTCAAAGACTTTTGCTTACAGGTGTGATGTATATGTCAGAGGAGAGAGGAAAAAAAATCAATGTTCGACATATTTACAAATGTAAATACATGTGGGGTTTTTCTTTTTGTATATTCCTTGTAATAGAGCATGCCATTATCAAAGTGAAGTTTCCCGTCATCAAGACCGGGCACAAAACAGCACACACCTACAATTTCCTTGTGTTTAAAAGTGGAGCTCCCCCGTCCAAAAACATTCTTGTAAAACTGCGAGGACGAATTAAGTCCTCCACCCCTGTCCTAATGTGTTTCGTATTTAGGTGATTTAACTCTAGGAAATACAGTTTGCTGTTAACGGCGTGTGGCGGCGGTCATTTTTCTTGCTTTGAAGCCAAGAAAACCTGTGGATATTTCATTAAAAACGCCGAGTCTTCAACAAGAAATATGTCTGTTGTATTTAAAGTCATAAAAATTGTTTTTCTAAAAAAAGATCTGCCGTACTTCCCGAGGTAGCAGGAGTTTTCGGAACAGCCTTTACCAAAACCAGGCAGGCAAGATGCGATGAAAAATAGCAACTGGGAGCAGGAGGCATGCAAACCATTTTTCTCAGGCTGGCAGCAGACGGGAGAGTCTTGCTCACCTCTAACTACAGATGTCAGAGGTGGAACATGTGCTCTTCTGCTGAACTTCAGTCCTCAGAGACAGGCGTCTTTCCCAGACCCACCCAGAGATGATGGAGGCTTTTTACAACGCCTTGTTGTTGTTTTTTTAAAAAAGTTATTTGAAGTGTTTTAGCTGACCTCCTATCACATTTACTTTCTGCCCTAGATGGTGAGTGGGTGAGCACTAGCAGAAGGGAACGTCATTTGTTCTTGGCAGTGACTTCCTCACTCATACGAACCGCCTGACTCCGAGGAACGTGACGGGCGAGTGTGCCGGATAAACTTTGCCGCATACCACTGTAACTAAACTATGACTTATAAGTGTACAGTGCGCAACTGAAAGAGGATTAGCGGCTGCTTTTATGAGAAACGCCAAATGTGCAGGTGGAAAGAGGCAAGACGTCCTTGGTGAGATGCGGCAAGCTCTGGGCGCCCATTGCTGTCTTTTCCACAAACACGGATTAAAAATGGGCCAGTATTTCTTTCCAAGCTGGGGTGGGAAGAAGAAGAGTCGTGGCCGCTCCATACAGCTGTTTTATCGTAGCTGGCTGCTGCAATATATTCTTGACACCGTAATAGCGCAGGGTGGCTCAGTTGGTTAGAGCATGATGCCAAGGTTGCAGGTTCAGTCCCCGTAATATACAGTGGTACCTTGGTTCTCAAACGCTTTGGTACTCAAAAAACTTGGAACCAAAACACTGCAAGCCCGGAAGTGTTCCGGTTTGCTTCTTTCGGAAGCCGAATGTGCTCCGTTTTGAGTGCCACACTTCCGTTTTGAGTGTTACGCTGAGGTCTGTTTTTGCTATTTATTTTGTGTTTTGTGACTCTCTTGTTTTTGTGACTTTGTGGAACCCAGTTCAGCTACTGTTTGACTGTGTGACCGCAATACAGTGGACCCTCGGGTAATATAACTTTCGGGTTGCGAATGGGGCAAACCCGGAAGTGTATTCTTCTGGGTTTCGCCGTGCGCGCATGTGCAGAAGCGCGCTGCGCATGTAGAAGCAGCACCTCTGCTTACGAAATTTCCAGGGTGTGCACGGACCCCTGGAATGAATCAAATTCGTATCCGGAGGGTCCACTGTACATTGTTTATTGCTTTCATTTTATGATCATGGTCTCGTAAAATTCATGTTAAATTGCTGTTTTAGAGGTTGTTTTTTTAAAAAAGTCTGGAACGGATTAATCCATTTTATATTACTTTCTATGGGAAAGCACGCCTTGGCTTTGGAACACTTCGGTTTTGGAATGGACCTCTGGGGCGAATTAAGTTTGAGAACCAAGTTACCACTGTACTTTGTATATACACTTTTGACCTCGGCCCCCGAGGCCTCCCCCAGTTATAAACTCATGGTGGTATGGATCACATGGAGTCAGGGCCAAGGCACCATCTAACTCAGAAAAGGGGCTCACCGGAGTCTGAAGAATAGCCAAATGCCTTGCTATTTAATAGTGACATTAACAACAACAGTGACAACAAAAACAACAACATGAACGGGTGAGATTCGCACCAGCCATACTGGTTCTCTAGTGTAGAGCTGGAGAACATGGGTGGAGCTCTCTAGCTCTTCTTAGACTACAAATCCCATCATTCCTGATCATTGGCCATGCTGGCTGAAGCTAATGGGAGCTGGGAGTCCAATATCACCTGGTGCCCCATCACTATCATGTAACTTCCTAAATTATAATATTACTGGAACCTGGGATAGCTCTGTAGGTAGAGAGAGCATGAGACTTCATTTCAGGGTTGTGGGTTTGAGCCCCACACGGGGCAAAATATTACTGCATTGCAAAGGGTTGGACTAGATTACTCTCGTGGTCCCTTTCCAATTCTACAATTCTATTATTCTAATAAAAATGATGTGGCGTTTACATACCGTGAGGAATAAAGAGAGAGGCAACTTGACTGAAGTATGCTAGCGGCTGTGCGATGGATCTTGGAACGTATCTGTTTAAATAGAAATAATTTTATGGCAATTATTCAAGGCAATTACGGAGCAATCCGAACCCCTGATCCGTGCTGCTGGAGAATGTTTGGCACTGCCATGTCTCACAAGGAGCTCTGCTTTCCTGCTAAACCTGCCAAAAGCAGAGCACATACTACCATGCGTTAGTGCCGGGCGCATTCACAAGCTTTCAGAATGGGCCGTCACGGAGGCAGAATGGGAAAAGGCGATAAATTGGCTTCATCCAAAGCCACCCATTTCCTCATGGGGGGCCCGAACCGGATTCCCTCTGCTGCACCCAGGGGCAGATTTAGGTTTGATGAGGCCCTAAGCTACTGAAGGTAATGGGGCCCTTTATATGTCCAGCTGTCCTTTGTCAACAACAAATTGTCGCTGTTTTGTTGTGTTGAATATATGCTATATGGACATTTATGAACCTAATGGGTATCTAAAGCCATTTTCACATAACAAAATAAGTTTTTTATCAAAGGAATTGTTGAACTGAAATACAATTAAGGAGCAGTATATTAATACTGAAACAAATTATTAAGCTCTTAATAATAAACTTAATAATGCAAACACATTGGCATTTGGCAATAACAAAAGTTCCTTTAGAAACACAATTTACAACACTAATAACCTAGTCTCTAGAAACTTACAATAACATGAAATAATAATAGGTGTCAATATATGATGCAAACTACTAATAATTATAAATAGCAGAATGTAGGCACCCTATATATAGAAATGAGCAAACCAGGGAGCAGGCTAGCAGGCGGGGCCCATTACTTACATCATAGGAGCCTACACAGCACAAAACACTGTTGCTGTATGTAGGCTTTATTTTATTCGTTTTTTATCTTATATTTTGGAAATGTACATCCGGGTGTTCTTTTCCTTTAAATTTTTTGGGGGGTCCCCAAGAGAGCGGGGCCCTAAGCTACCTGCACCAGTTTGTCGCTTCTATGGCCGGGAATTGGCGGTTTTCTGCTTCCGCCCCAAGTGGCACCAGCTAGCAGGGTTGTGGGTACACCACTGAATCTGCCGCGTTGCGCCAACCAAATCTCAGCTTGGTTTGCTTTGCACTGGGCCAGTAAATCGCTTAGCAGCCTCGCACACAGACCTTTAGAGAAAATGTGCAAATACTGTAGATGTTTGAGCCTTCAGCTGTTTCAGATTCTCATTTGTGGAACGCCCTCCCCTGTAAGATGCATGTGGCTCCTTCATTACTGGCTCCCATGAGAAATTTAAAAACATTCCTTTTTTTACCCAGGCATTTGATAGCTGTTCCTGACACACTCGGGGCAACTGTTTTAAGAATGTCTATATCTGTTCTGAGAATATATATATATATATAATTATTGATGTTTGCTGCTCCGGGAGGAAGGGCAGGGTATAGAGTGAAGATACAGTGGTACCTTGGTTTAAGAACAGCTTAGTTTATGAACAACTTGGATTAAAAATGCTGCAAACCCGGAAGTAGGTGTTTTGGTTTGTGAACTTTGCCTTGGAAGCAGAACATGTTCCGCTTCCTGTTGAGTGTAAATTGAGTCCCCCGCCGCTATGGGAAAGCACACCTTGGTTTAAGAACGCTTTGGTTTAAGAACGGACTTCCGGAACGGATTAAGTTCGTAAACCAAGGTTTATAAATAAACCAAGTTAAGGGACTATGCTGAAATGGCGAAATTAACTGGAAAGCTTAGAAATCAAGATGACAAGAAATTTTTAAAAGAATGGGAAATCTTGATTATGTATTTGCAAAAGTATTGTAAACAGGTTAATACACTGGCAGGATTTTAAAAATCACTTGCAATTTTAGAAATACTGTAGTAAAGGAAATCTGAGACAAATAATAATAATAATTGGAGTAGAAATGATATGCAGTTAAAAAGAAAATTTAAGGAACCGGGGTGGGGTGGGGAGGGAAGCCACGGGGTTTGGAGAATCCCATTCTATGGATTTGACATTGATTTTGTGTACAACCTTCTTTGTTTGTGGTTGGTATTGTATTTGTTGTTGAAAACCTAATAAAAATATTATTAAAAAGAAGATTTAAATAAATAAGCCCTATGATTAAAGGCCTACGTGGATTAGATAATTAATTAATAAGCAAGCCTGTTCCAAGTATTTAGGAGGAGTAATAATAATAATTTTTAATTTATATCCCGCCCATCTGGCTGGGTTTCCCTAGCCACTCTGGGCGGCTTACAACATATAAAACGCAACAAAGCGCCAAACATTAAAGAAACAAGATATCCTATACAAGCAACATATAAACCAATAAATCAGCGAAAAGCAGTAACAACAGCAACAATAAACAGTTTGTAGTTATACCGGAATCAAAGTAGCCACCAATCCCAAATGAACATTAACATGAAACAAGAGGAACCATTAAAATGAAACAAGAGGAACAATTAAAATGAAACAAGAGGAACCAAAATTAGGGAGGGAAAACACTGCTGTATTTCTAGGGAATTCTGCCATAGAATCCTAAAAGGATAAAATAAAAGCGGGGAAGTAGGTGACATTTCTCTGTTCCCGTTACTAATTTTAGGCAAAGGAAATGCAGCCACCAGAAGCTATTTATAACAAAGCAACAGGGGCAAGTGAGAAGTGAGCGAGGAGATGTGAAAAGTGCCTAACAGGTGCAAGGCGAGTGCGCATGACTTCTGCGCATTGGCTGAACTGTGCGCCCCTTGTGCTCTGGAGAGATATTTGTGCTTTTCCACCAGCCGCATGGGCTGGGGAGGGGAAGGGGGGAGGAAAGGGGGAGAGGCCACTGCTGCAGTGTTGTATAAATTACAGGCACACACGCCTTTTTTTCCTGAATGAAATAGCTGAGCAGAGCACAGGATTTAAGGCAGGAGGCCTCCAGTGCTTTTCCTCCATTCGTTTTCTACATTCCCGCCTCAAGAAGAAGGAAAAAAAACAAACAGGAAGAAGATGAAGTATATCATAGGAATTGGAGGGTAAGTTGTTGTTGCATCCCTCGTTACGTTTTGTACTTTTGCATGCTCCGGGATTCGAAATGCGCCAATGTGCTTTACGCCTTGGACAAAAGCCAAGTTTGTAAACAGAAGTTAGGCTCAAAAAGCCCATGAAAACCTCCAGGCTCTGTAATAATAATAATAATTTTTAAAAATGTAGTTTGGACAGATGTAGCGGTGTTTTCAAAAGTATTACCCGTTCTTTCTCAGCGTTTATGTATGAAATAATGAGATGAGGAGTCAACTAACCATGGCCTAAAAATGGGATTTGGTAGCCTAAAAGAGGGAATCTTGAATAGCCAATTAAAAGGCATCACTTTAACTTTTATTCTGCTATTTCATAAAACCCCAAAGCCTCGCTTTTAATAATGGGAGATGTAATAATGTAATAGAGGGAGAGGGAGAGAGAAGGCGCCTGGTGTAACCTGCAGGAAAAGGAAGAAAACTATTGAAAGAATTCCTGTTGCAATGCGCGGAATGAAATTGCGGGGAGACATCTGTCCATGTCCTTCCCTAAATTTGCTTTCGCGTGAGTATTTTGGATAGATCTGGAGCCTGGCTGAGACACTGAGATATTAATTCCCACCACCACCACCTCCATTAATAGGCAACAATCCAGTCAGTGCCTGCAACCCTAATACTTTTGTTAACAGCATTTAGAAAACCTTGCAGAGCAAGAATAGTAATGATATATGCTGCCCTATTTTGTATGCCAATAACCTTATCACGGCGCATGATTGAGAAGTACCGCTTTGTATTAATTGGGGTGCTTTCGGCCAACACGAGCTTTGAGGTAGCTGAAGCCTATGGGATGTAGGAGGACCCGCTTTCAAATCCCCTCCACTCTGGCAAACCTTAAGAATCCCAGAATTGCAGATTTGGAAGGGACCCCGGGGGTCATCCAGTCCAACCCGCTACAATGCCATAGCTGCCGACGTTTCCCTTTTTTAAAGGGAAATTCCCTTATTCCGAACAGGATTCCTCGCAAGAAAAGGCAAAAGTTGACAGCTATGGACAATGCAGGAATCGCAACCCGCAGCCCTGGCAGGGCTGCTGCAAGGATAAAAACAGTGAGGTGGGAGACGAGATATAAAATAGCATGATTATTATTTTAATGGCTTTGCACAAGGCTTAAAGGTGCTTCCAGGAAGGTTTTTCATCTGAAGGTGTGTTGCGACAGGTTCTTGCTTTCCTAATTTACCAGATTCCCCCCAGAAAGGATAAAATTGGGACTGAATTAGGGATGCAGCTGGGCATTTTGAGATACTAATGATAGTAATGGGGAGGACGAACTTGCAGGCAGGAAGGTGCACCAGTTCCACATTAAATGTCAAAATGTGGATTATTGCGTGTGTGTGTGTGTGCTTTTTTAAAAAAATACACAGCCATTTCCTTCTGTTTCAAAGCCAAGCCAAGCCAAAAATGCTCAACCATAGGTTGAGCTTTCTTAAACCCATTATTACTGTGCAATGCCTATTAGATAATAATAATAATAATAATAATAATAATAATAATATACCGCCCTATATCCGGCGGTCTCAGGGCAGTTCACAGAAAAGATCAACATAAAAACTACAATATAATAATAATAATAATAATAATAATAATAATATACTGCCCTATACCCAGAGGTCTCAGGGTGGTTCACAGAAAAGATCAACATAAAAACTACAATATACATAATCAAAATAAAAACAACAACCCAATAACATGCTAGATATTTTATAGCATGGTATTACTTCAATTTGAGTTCACCGGGAGCTTCCTTTTAATTCACAGCATTAAATTTAGGAGGGCGGGTGGGAAAATAATAAAATAAAGAGCAGCCATGAGTCGCTTGCCTCCAGGATCTTACAAAAGGGTTGGTTTTTTTCGTGAGGGTAGCAAACCCACCGCCAGATCTGAAGTTATTATAATTTATTATAATACTAAATTCTTGTTATTATGGGAGCCGGCTAGGATGGGAACCATCTTGAGGGGAGCGGAGCCAAAAAAAGCAGAATATCTAGTCACTAGTGGCTTACTCCGGAGTAAATGGATAGGGAGCTATAGCCTCTTGCAGTTATAAAGGCAAAAAGCAGAGAGGTCTCTGCCCCAAGCAGTTTACAATCAGGAATACTGAGAGTTCATAACGCCAGGAAAAATTGGCACAAACCCCAAATTGCTTTTCCCCCCTCCAGCCCTGTAGAATATTTTCTTTCTAATCTCTCACATTAAGTTTCTCATTAAGTTTCCTCATTAGACTCAGGTTGTTTGTTTGAAAAAATCCAATTTCAATTCGATTTTTATCATAATCATTGGTGCATTTTAAACACAAATATACCGCTTTAATTCTATCTGTGCATAGTGTTATTGGTTATGACTGGCTTTTCCCCTTCTCGTTTTGGCTTTTAAAAAATAAATAAATCGGTAAGCCGCCTTGAGTCCCATCAGGGAAAAGGCAAGATAGAAAGAACATGATTAGTATGTTCCATAAATGTCCAGTGGACATCCTTGATGGGAGAAAAATCTTTTTCTACCTCATTTTTTTTTAAATGTAATTTTCTCCCACTAAGTAGACCCACTAAGCCTGTTTATATCCTTTAATTTCAACGTGAATACAGGACTCCCAGTATAAATATCACTGGGTATAAGAGAATATACAGAGGCATAGCTGTCAACTTTTCCCTTTTCTTGAGAGGAATCCTATTCGAAATAAGGGAATTTCCCTTAAAAAAGGGAAAACGTTGACAGCTATGTACTGAGGCAGCTGATAGGTGGTTGTTGTTTTTTAATAAAAAGATGTATTTTCTTCTATTTTATTTACTAATCCGTATTAGTCTATACAGTATTTAGTAAACAATGAAAAAGAAAATAAATGAAGGGGGGAGCTAGAAATCATTCCGCTCTCTTTGAAGCAAATATATAGATATCTCTGCTTCTTCCCGCCTTCTCCCGCCCAGCCACCCGCCATATTAATTAACCGACGAGGCGGGGAAGCTTTTATAACCTCCGCCCCGCGCGCGCCCTGAACCGAAGTCCGTTAATTCTGGCGGGAGCCGCGCCAGCCAATAGGGGGACGAGCTTCGAACACGCCATTTCTTGAGGCTCCGCCCCTCTTTTACCATGTTTGGAAAAGCCTGCAAGAAAGAGGCGGGAAAAAGAATAATAATACTGTATTGTTTTACATGGGAGTAAACCCCGCTCTGGGCAGTGGGGCTTACTCCTGAGTAAATGCCTTTTAAAAAAAAAAAGAATTTCTCTGATCCTTTCCCCCCCTTTTTTTTGCACTTTATTTATTACTAATGTTGCAATACATATATGAAATCTTTACATATTGATACATATGCATTATATTCCTAAATTCACATTTTCACATTTCATTATGTACCAACATTTATCTATTTCGTCTTTCTTGCCTCCACCCGTGCATGACTTCCTTGTTATTACTTTGTAACTTTAGGACTGAGATTGTAATTTTGTATCTTAATAATTAAACATCTTATATATCTGCTTAGCTCAGCTTCATTTTGTGAAATCAGTCTATACATATCAATAAATTCTTGTTGGAGCATCTTTTGGTCATGTATTCTTCTAGACATTTCCATTCCTGTTTGAGATTTTGATTAGATTGTATTCTAATTGTTGCCGTCATTTTTGCTAATTCAATCATTTAAAAAATATATATATATTGCCAATCTTTCAATGTTGGTACTTCTTCTGTATGTATTGTTTTACATGGGAGTAAACCCTGCTCAGTGCAGTGAGGCTTACTCCTGAGTAAATGTTTTTATATATATAAAAAAAGAATTTCTATGTTCCATTGAGAGGTTAATTTGTGTAAAAAATAGTTCTTTTTTTTAAAAAAAAATTAATTACAAAGTAAATACATCAATACCAAACCATACATAAAGAATAATATAAAGGGGGGGGGGGAGAGAAGAAAAAGAAGGAAAATTGCAAAGAAAAGTAGGCAGTAAAAGAATAAAGAAAAGTATAATATTTCAATACAATAAACACTAATTTACAAAATAATAGCAATATTAGACTTCCATCCCTCTCACAACACTCCCTTTCACATTTCACATTTTATCTGTATTTCAGTATTATTTTCATCTTAATATATAGATATGTGTATATATCTATGTTTCCCCTTTTCCATTCACGAGGTCATTCTAGACGCAGCCAAATTTTTACATTAGAACCTTGTCTTTTTAAATGGAATGGAAGTGCTTAGGTTTAATGTTGTTTTTTCAAACAAACAAACAAACACGTATTTGATGTGATTGAATGCATAGCGCAACAACTAAAACCGGAAAGCATTGCTCTGTCGGAACCTTGCAATTAATTATTTCTTAATTTTGGGCTCAAAAAATAGGGGTCGTCTTATGCATGGGGCGTCTTATACACGGAAAAATAGGATATATGCACATGTTTCAATATTTTAATGTTGTATTTTAATTTTGTTTTTAAGTTGTTTTCATTCAACTTGCTTTTATTATTGCTTGTTATCCGCCCTGAGCCCAGCCTTGGCTGGGGAGGGCGGGGTATAAATAAAAATTATTATTATTATTATTATTATTATTATTATTATCCACACCATGCATTTAAAGTGCAGGCTCCCCCACAAAGAAAACTGGGAACTATGCTCAAAGCCTTCCTATGCTCGTTGAATTTGCATCCTTGCTCTGTTAACCATTCTCACATTATCCCCACCCCAATTCTGCTTCATGTTTTCTTAATCTAGGGTGACCAATGGTGGCAAAACCACTTTGACCAAAAGACTTACCCAAGCGCTCCCAAACTGTTGCGTTGTCCATCAAGATGACTTCTTCAAGGTAAGCATCACACACCCCTTTGGTTTAATGTTGATTTTGTCAAACAAACAAAGACATATTTGATGTGATTGAATGCATAGTGCAACAACTAAAACTGGTAAGCATTGCTCTGTCGTTACAAAAAAAAAAACACACAATTTGTCCGGGGAGGGCATTAAAACCTTAAAAGCATAGATGCTCATTATTTTTGGTCCGGGCCACAACTTCAGGGCTTGTATATACTGTATTTTCCCGTTTATTATTCCCCCCCAAAGTTTAAACTTGGGGGTCGTCTTATACACGGAATGTTGCAATTAATTATTTCTTAATTTGGGGCCCAAAAAATACACACCGGAAAATACGATATATGCACACCCACACCGTGCATTTAAAGTGCATAGCTCCCTCCCCATAAAGAAAACTGGGAACTAGCTTGTGACCGGCAAGGATAACAGGGAGAAGGAAACTACAGTTCCCATGATTCTTTGCAGGAGAACCGTCCCCTTAACTGCATGGTATGGAGGTGACTGCCTGCAGCGCAGTTCGTAACTGTGTCTACTCAGAAGCAAGTGCTTCTGAATCCAAGGGGACTTCTTCCTCAAATAGGTTAGGATCATAGCCATTTATACTGTGTTTACTCCAGGTTAGATAACCTGGGATAGCAACCGCACCCTTGTTTTTTCTTTGAATGATATTTATTAAAGTTTCAATAAAAAATTAAACATAAAACATAAAAAAAGAAATACACAATTCAAAAATACACAATACATAATCCAAAAGGGAAAAAAGGAACAAAAAAACACAAGACAAAAAAGAAAATAGAACAATTAAAAACAATATCACCTTTTCATCTCCATTTTTAAATTTACTTATTTTCTGGACCTCCTCGTACCTCCCTCTTTTGTATTCCAGTTCAAATTGTTTGTCCAGCAATTTCTTTCCCTCTTTTTTAATCCCAATCTTTACTCTTAATATAATATAACATTAAAATTTTACCTTTTAAAAACCAAATTTCCATTTCCTTAAACTTTTTTAATCCTAATCCTTAATCTTAATCTATCCATAACTTGTTTTTGGGATAACCGCTGACGCAGGTAAAAATCCCCCACTTCTCCCATACCCATTGAAACTACAGTCGCACCTTGGAAGTTGAGCAGAATCCGTTCCGGAAGTCCGTTCGACTTCCGAAATATTCGGAAACCGAACCGCGGCTTCTGATTGGCTGCAGGAAGCTCCTGTAGGTTCAGGTTCCGAAAGAACGTTCGCAAACCGGAACAATCACTTCCGGGTTTGCGGCGTTCAGGAACCAAAACGTCCAAGTCCCAGGGCGTTGGGGATCCAAGCTACGACTGTATTCCATTCATTTTAATCTTTCTATTGTGAATATATTGTAGTGGTTCAAATGCATTACCTGGCGATGGGCTGGTCCGTGGGATATGCTACCAACAGTGGTTTTCCATTTTTTTAAACTGTCTAGGACGGTTACCATACATTGAAAGTACATAAGGTGTGTCCCCCACCCCAAATAATCCTAGTCACTGAAGATTGTTGAGAGTGCTGGAACCTGAAGGGTAGAAATGTAGATCTGCATGGAGTAAACTGCAATACCCGCGATTCTTGTATAGCCTGAAGGTGTCTTTCTAGAAACTCCTCGTGTCGCAAAGTTGTGTTCTTGGGAGCATGGATTCGCACTCGGGCCACGTGGGGCCAAACGGGCGGATTGGGCCTCACTGCCACTCTGTGTGAATTGGGGTGGGGTGTGAACCGTAGAATGCACCAGATATTCCATATGATTGATAGCGATGAGCCAGGACTGGATAAGGATGGGTTCAGGGAAAATACCAGCCACAGAATCGCAGAATTTTAGGGTCACCTACAAGGGTCACCATCTTGTCCAATTATATATATATATAATTTTCAATTTTCAAATTATAACAAAAATTACAAACATTGAATCCAAAATAATACTATACGCACAAGAAAGAAAAACAGAACACAAAAAAGAAAAGAAAAAGCACACATCTACAAATAAAACCATATCTTTATATCTAATCTAGTCATTACGTACCATATTTTTTGCTCTATAAGACTCACTTTTTCCCTCCTAAAAAGTAAAGGGAAATGTGTGTGCGTCTTATGGAGTGAATGCAGGCTGCGCAGCTATCCCAGAAGCCAGAACAGCAAGAGGGATTGCTGCTTTCACTGCACAGCAAGCCCTCATGCTATTCTGGCTTCTGAGATTCAGAATATTTTTTTTCTTGTTTTCCTCCTCCAAAAACTAGGTGCGTCTTGTGCTCTGGTGCGTCTTATAGAGCGAAAAATACGGTACATATATTACATACATATTGACTTCCTTCCTTTGTTCTAAGACCTCAAAATTTTTACTCTTACTAAATTGTTGTGTCTAATGTAGATTACGTCTATCTTTATACTTTTTTACACCATTTTTCTTTTTCTTTAACCATGCAAAACATCGTTCATTTACATACCGATATGCTTACTCCAGAACAGTATTTCTTCATATACTCTTTACCACATCCTTTACCACATTCTTTTAATAATTTGTGGTCCGATTGTCCCCTTATGAATGCTGTGATTCTTGCCAGATTTATATATTCACAAAATTTAATTTGCCATTCTTTCATTGGTGGAATTTTTCTCCCTTTCCAATTTTTTGCTATAAGCATCCTGGCAGCTGCCGTTGCATAAGGGAAAACTTTCCTCTGATTGTCAGGAATATCGTTTGTGATTATACCTAAAAGGACTGCCTCCGGTTTTTTACCTGCCAGCTATATAAACCAAGTACCCTCCGGATATCAACACATGTATACGGACAAACAGGCATATGCTTTGATTTAAAAAACAGCAGAACTGATTTTCTGTTGCAGCTGTTCTCTTGTATATTGTGCAAGATTTCATCTTGCGTCACAAAATATTTGATTCTGAAGAGCAGGCCAGCATTGGAACTTTAAGTGACCCCAGAGGACAGTTCTCCCCTCCGCAGAAAATTAGTTTAACACCCCACCCCAAATTAGCCATTGTAGCTAATTAGAAGAAATATACTTTTTGGGGGGGAGTCCCCTTTCCACCACCAGAGAAATGTACTTTATGCCCTCTGTAGCCTTGTTTTTTTCCCTTTTGGGAAAGCCATAACTCATTGGTACAGCAAAAGGTCCCAGATTTGATTTGTGGCATATCCCTGCCTGAAATCCTGGAGACTGCACTGAGCTAGGAACACGGATATATGTTCTTGTGTATGCCTACTCTAAGCAAGTTACATTAAGCCCAAATCATTTGTGTTGTTAAGTTGTGGGTGAACATATCAGACGACACAGCGATTCTTCAAACAGCTCTTGTTTATTCACAGGCCAGAACAGAACTGAACTGAAGGGTTCAGTCAGCCTGCTTATATAGAGCTCCAGTACAACGTAACTGTAACAATTTTCTAAAACTATCCAATCGCTGAACGTCACTTTCGATCCCTTATTTGCATAACTATCTACAGTATCCCCCTGCTGGCCCAGGGTGAGAACTTCAGTACATAACGTGTGTGGTCATTTCCTTTAACCAAAATTATTACTGCTCCTTAGAAATGCCCTTCCAGCATTCCTTTAATTTTGTAGAACTTGAATTGCAGTTACACACACGCACACACACACACACACACACACACTACTCAGCTGTTAAAAAATACAATTTTCACCTGTGTACTTCTTCGGGGGTATTGTTTTATTTCAAAAATGTAGCTTAACCTGGCAAAATTAATTTGCTACAGAGTTTAGAAAGTCTCCCCCCATCTTTCCCGCTCCATTTCCTCTCTACACCACATGCACCACATGCTTATTTATTCCCAAGTTCCCCCCCAGAATCCCAGTTCAGATATGCGAGAACAAGCAGTTTCATATCTGTGCCGGGTCTGGAGATCACCTGTGTGTACCTTACCTGGTGCATATAGGACACTGAAACATGCTTGTGTGCACATGTCTGTGTGGCCGGTGCAATACGGCAGGAGTGGGGAACATCTGACCTCCTTAGATGTTCTTAGGCAGGCATCCCCAACCTGCGGCCCTCCAGATGTTTTGGCCTACAACTCCCATGATCCCTAGCTAACAGGACCAGTGGTCAGGGATGATGGGAATTGTAGTCCTAAACATCTGGAGGGCCAAAGGTTTGGGGTGCCTGTTCTTAGGCTACAACCCCCACCAGCCTTGACTCTTGGCCATGCTGTCTGTGGTTGTTTGGGGATGCTAAACATCTGGAGGGTCCGAGGTTCTCCACCCCTGAATCAGGGCAAATGGGGCACTGCCCCTCCAACATAATCAGCCCTTATCTATCGGCTTTCTTACTTACCTGCTATTCAGCGGGTGACCCCAGGTGTCCTCATGTAGGCGAGGCAAATGGAGAAAAAATAGCAAAAAATGGAGAGCAGCTAGCTTGGGACTTGGGGTGGGGGTTGTGTTGGTATTGTCGTTTGTTCTGCAGCACAGCTGTTTTTGCTAAGTCAGCCCTTTGCCTCCGTTGTGTGTGTGTATGTGTGTATTTTGCAGTAGTGTCCAGGTTGTGATCGGATCGTAGATAAAACTGATCACCCTGCGTTTGCAGCAATGTTTTATTGGTCACTATATTTCAGCCACAAGATCAAATACAAGTCGGGGAAGACGGATTTAAACAATGGGATGGTAAGAGCGGTGTTCGCTATAGGATGCAGTAATGTATATTTTCCTAAGTATATATATTTTATTTTTATCACTATAATATTATTAAATAAAGACTTAACAGTAAAATCTGCACCATTCTATAAATACACGTTTAATTTATACACTTTCACACTCTTGAGTTTTTCGTCTTTATTTCCTTACTGACTTTTCTGCGTGTCTGTGTGCATATATATATATTTCCCACCTAGTTTTGGCTTCCTTGGATATGGACGCGATGGTGAGCACTGTTCAGGCATGGATTGAGAATCCCGTGAAGTTTGCGCGATCCCATGGAGTGAGTGTTTCCTGTGAATCAAAGCAGCCCAGTTCTGATGATACCCATATACTGATTGTTGAAGGTTTCCTGCTTTACAACTACAGGTAATAATAATAATAATAATAATAATAATAATAATAATTTATTTATACCCTGCCCATCTGGCTGAGTCTCCCCAGCCACTCTGGGCGGCTCCCAATCAAATGTTAAAAACAGTACAGCATTAAATACTAAAAACTTCCCTAAACAGGGCTACCTTCAAATGTCTTTAAAGATAGGATAACTGCTTATTTCCTTCACATCTGAAGGGAGGGTGTTCCACAGGGTGGGCGCCACTACCGAGAAGGCCCTGTCTGGTTCCCTGTAACCTCGCTTCTCGCAATGAGGGAACCGCCAGAAGGCCCTCGGCACTGGACCTCCGTGTCTGGGCTGAACGATGGGGGTGAGTGGAGACGCTCCTTCAGGTCTACTGGACCGAGGCCGTTTAGGGCTTTAAAGGTCAGCACCAACACTTTGAATTGGGCTTGGAAACGTACTGGGAGCCAATGCAGATCTCTCAGGACCGGTGTTATGTGGTCTCGGCGGCCGCTCCCAGTCACCAGTCTAGCTGCCGCATTCTCGATTAATTGCAGTTTCTGGGTTACCTTCAAAAGTAGCCCCACCTTTCCTTTTTTTGCTTTTTTTGTAGTAAAAAAAAGGTAAAGGTAAAGGACCCCTGACAGTTAGGTCCAGTCGCGGACGACTCTGAGGTTGCGGCGCTCATCTCGCTTTACAGGCCGAGGGAGCCGGCTTTTGTCCTCAGACAGATTTTCTGGGTCATGTGGCCAGCATGACTAAGCCGCTTCTGGCAAAACCAAAGCAGCGCACGGAAATGCCGTTTACCTTCCCGCTGGAGTGGTACCTATTTATCTACTTGTACTTTGACGTGCTTTTGAACTGCTAGGTTGGCAGGAGCTGGGACCGAGCAACGGGAGCTCACCCCGTTGCGGGGATTCGAACCACCGACCTTCTGATCAGCAAACCCTAGACTCTGTGGTTTAGACCACAGCGCCACCCACGTCCACTTTAAAGTATGCATTTGGTTGCGCCTGTCCTATTGACCCCTGGTGCTGGGCTTTGAATAAGAGCTTCATCTGCAAACATATCACCTGCTCTCTGTATAACACTTGATTGTCTCTGCCAGTCAATAATAATAATAATAATAATAATAATAATAATAATAATAATAATTTATTATTTATACCCTGCCCATCTGGCTGGGTTTTCCCAGCCACTCTGGGTCACTGTTGCGAGAGACCCTAGAAATCGTTGGTGGTGATTATAATGAATTTATTATTTATTAAATTTCAACACCACCATCCGAAGATCGCAGGGTGGTTTACAATATGAAAACGCAAAAATACACAACATAATAACAAACAAAAACAACAACCCCTGCCCTACCCACAGTATTATTATTCATCACAAACAACAGTATGACTTTGTGCAACCATGTGGTTTAGGAAAGATCATATCTCAAGTAATTTCGAACCTTACTTTTTCTCACCTGCAGGCCACTGATTGACTTGTTCGACAAACGCTATTATCTAGCAGTCCCATACAGTGAATGCAAGTGGAGGAGGAGGTAAGAATGGCTCCTCGACTTTAATATTGCGATGCTGAAATTTCATGTGGTATTCACCTCATTCCTATGACACAATTGCAAGTTGCAGAATTGGAAAACTTCTGAGCTCCACGTCAATCTAAAAGATTCCTGCATTGCAGAGGATTGGACAAGATAACCCTCTCGTGGTCCTTTCCATCTCTGATTCTATGATTCAGTCACACTTCTCTGAATTTTGCAGTTCAGTTCTCCAGATTTTTGTACTGTATACAAAAATACATGTGCTAGGGCAAATAATACACACAAAAAACCCACATTACATTAAGGGAAATCGTCTTGCAAAATTGTATAGGTTAGACGTAAAGGTAAAGGTAAAGGGACCCCTGACTGTTAGGTCCAGTCGTGGCCGACTCTGGGGTTGCGGCGCTCATCTCGCTTTATTGGCCGAGGGAGCTGGCATACAGCTTCCGGGTCATGTGGCCAGCAGGACTAAGCTGCTTCTGGCGAACCAAAGCAGCGCATGGAAACGCCGTTGACCTTCCCGCCAGAGCGGTACCTATTTATCTACTTGCACTCTGACGTGCTTTCAAACTGCTAGGTTGGCAGGAGCAGGGACTGAGCAATGGGAGCTCACCCCGTTGTGGGGATTCGAACCACCAACCTTCTGATAGGCAAGCTCCGGGCTCTGTGGTTTAACCCACAGCGCCACCCGCATCCCTCAGGTTAGACATAACTGCATACAAAAATACGTAGATTAGAAGAAATCAACACTAAAATGCTGGTGAATTTTCATGAGGGCTTAAAAAAAAATCCAAACTGATGCGATGAGGAGAACTGAAGACTGGGGGGAAATGAGAAATTGAGAGAAACCATCCAACCCTAGTAGTTGCTGATGTCACAAAAGTGCTTACCGACACTGCTGTACAAACCTGATGTGGGAATTCAGTTGTTGTTTAGTCCATTAGTCGTGTCTGACTCTTCGAGGCTCCATCTGTGAGCCGGCCCATCGTCCCTCAGACCATGTGGGGGGCTGGATTATATTTGGGGGGGGGATGAACAAATTTCTATGCCCCACAAATAACCCAGAGATGCATTTTAAATAAAAGGACACATTCTACTCATGTAAAAACACGCTGATTCCCGGACCGTCCGCGGGCCGGATTGAGAAGGCGATTGGGCCGCATCCGGCCCCTGGGCCTTAGGTTGCCTACCCCTGGTATAGATTAACAAATTCCTTTTCTGTTTGCAGTACACGTAAATACACAGTACCAGACCCCCCTGGTCTCTTTGATGGCCACGTATGGCCCATGTATCTTAAGCACAGGAAGGAAATGGAGGCGAACGAAGTGGATGTTGGTAAGAGACAACTTGGAGTGTGGTGCAAGTGTTCGCGTGTTATAATTTTTTTAAAAATGTGATGTGCTTAGAGGAGGGCTTTCCAATCCTCTCACACTGGTGGCACCATTTTTAAGACATGCATTGTTTCACGACAAAGTACCGTATTTTTGCTCTGTAAGACTCACTTTTTCCCTCCTAAAAAGTAAGGGGAAATGTGCGTGCGTCTTATGGAACGAATGCAGGCTGCGCAGCTATCCCAGAAGCCAGAACAGCAAGAGGGATTCCTGCTTTCACTGCGCAGCGATCCCTCTTGCTGATCTGGCTTCTGAGATTCAGAATATTTTTTCCCTTGTTTTCCTCCTCCAAAAACTAGGTGCGTCTTGTGGTCTGGTGCGTCTTATAGAGCGAAAAACACGGTGATTCAGTTTTACTAGCAAACCAGAGGTCAAACTAACCCCTTTCCAGCCCTGGGAGGAGCACAGGGGGCGTTCACGCAACATACCTACACGCTGCGGCCGACGCACTAAATATGCTGCAGTTTGGAAAGCCCTGGGTGGGGAATGTTTGGCCCTCCCATTGTTCCTAAACATCCCACCAACCCCAGAAACAGCCAATGGTCAAGTCTTAATGGGAGCTGTAGTCCAGCATGGGGCTTATCCACACCTCCACTTTCCCCTGGGAAAAGCCGTGCTTTAGTGCTGAATCGGAACAAAAGGCAGCCAGTTTTCCCATGGATTGCTTTTTGTTCCGATTTAACATGGAAGAGAGTGTTTTCTGGGGGGGGGGGAGTGGCTGGGCCAAAGCAAAACTGCTTGGATCCATGCCTAGAAAATGCAGGGTAAGTGGAGAACGACCCGGAGCCATGTTTTCTAGGCAAAAGTGTGTACAGCCCATCCGGAGGGCTAGAGGTTTCCCACTCCCGAGCTAGGTAATGAAATTGTTTCTTTTAGTTTTCTCAATCGTCTCTTCAGTTTATATCCTGCCCTTCTTCCCAAAGGCATTTTGAACGCACCAGTAATATTGTTAAAAATAGTTAAACAATCAAATTCTCTCAGCCAGTAATTTCAGGGTTGCTTATTTTGTATGCCTGCTAATATCTCTTAATTATTTTATTTTTTAAATTTGATTATAGATTAAAAAAAATCACCTCTGTCTCCTTTGTCACCTTGTGAGGGTGTTAGCCCTAAGAACCAACCAGATAGTACTTTGAATAAGTAAATATCATTTCCGAAAATACTGCACCATTGAGCTGCCCTTATTTATTTATTTATTTATTTATTTATTTATTATTATTATTTATTAAATTTTATTTAACATAATTATTACAAAATACAAGCAAAATACATACAAATACATACATACATACATACATACATACATACATACATATATTTTTCAGATAAGCACACATATATAGAAAAGAACAAAAAAGGAAGAAAAGAAAAAAGAAAAAGAAAAAATCAGAAGAAAAATTGGAAGAATTTCTTCCAAATTTATTCTACAAATATCTCAATAATAAAATTTCATTGATTGACTTCCATCGCTTACACTGCACTTCTTATATACATTTTAAGCAAATGTATGAGCCACCCTTTTATAAGCACTTGTGCCAGTTCCAGATCTGCGGGGATCCTTCTCCCTCATTGAGTCTACCTCCTCACTCAAATTACCGCCTGCTTGCTGCCAAAAATCCAGCAGGGCAGTGCTGTGATCAGTTCCTCTTTATTTTGGCCAGAGCAGGAGTCTGGTGAATAAGCAAGTAAGCCTCACTGGATTCAATCGATCATACCCGCTTGCTTGGCAGGATTGCAGCATTACACATTTTGTGAGCCTGACTCTAGCGGGTTAGATCTCTTAAGGTAAAGGTAAAGGGACCCCTGACCATTAGGTCTAGTCGTGGCCGACTCTGGGGTTGCGGCGCTCATCTCGCTTTATTGGCTGAGGGAGCCGGCGTACAGCTTCCGGGTCATGTGGCCAGCAGGACTAAGCCGCTTCTGGCGAACCAGAGCAGCGCACAGAAACGCCGTTTACCTTCCCGCCGGAGCGGTACCTATTTATCTACTTGCACTTTGACGTGCTTTTGAACTGCTAGGTTGGCAGGAGCAGGGACTGAGCAACGGGAGCTCACCCCGCCACGGGGATTCGAACCGCCAACCTTCTGATCGGCAAGTCCTAGGCTCTGTGGTTTAACCCACAGCGCCACCCGCATCCATGCAAAACTGTCATGTTGATTTATTTACTGGCATCCCTGCATGTGAAATTCACAACTGCCTGTTCTTCTTTTCAGTTTATCTGGATGGGCTGAAGTCCAGAGACGATCTTTACATGGAAGTCTTTAAAGAAATACAGAACAAGCTTTTGAATCACTCATAGGTGAATATACTCCTGGATGGGAGGGGAGGAGGTTATTTTCTACCTTGCTCTTTGCATCTTCCTCATAATACTTTGGGTATTAATTGCCTTATGTTTGCTTTTCAGGATCTGTGGGAAGTTGAAAGATCTATGTACAAATCTGATGTAAATACTATTTTGGATATTTACTGAAACATGTTAAGTGAACATGCCTTCCTTGGCACTGCCCTTTGGAAAATAACTTTATGTATATAATTGAAAAAATAAGGTAGTTCATTTACAACTCAACCATGGGCAGTTGTTGTTTTTTATTTACTTATTATTTTGTATTCCATTGGCTTAAACGTGTATGTTTTAAAAACGCATTTTTATAATGGAAGTCTGTAAAATACCACTGGTTTTACGTCTGTAGCTTTGTGTCAGTAATAAGCTTCTGTTTAACTGCTTGTGCAAGAACACACGGCATACTCAATAAAGAAACATTTGAACGTTTGGTCTCTCGTTTTGCTTTACTGAACATCATCAGGGCAGGACAAAAATTCACAGAAGGCTACCAGATTCAACCTTCGTCATCTCTAGAAGGACTAGGGACAATTGCCTAAAATCTTAGAGAGCCACAGTGTGGACAAACCTGAGCAAAGCAACCAACCTTTGTTCCTTTTTTTGAAAAATGATTTTTATTTGGTTTTACCTATTTATCTACTTGCACTTTGACGTGCTTTTGAACTGCTAGGTTGGCAGGAGCAGGGACCGAGGAACAGGAGCTCACCCCGTCGCGGGGATTCGAACCACCGACCTTCTGATCGGCAAGCCCTAGGCTCTGTGGTTTCACCCACAGCGCCACCCGCGTCCCTAAACAGCCTACTACTACAAGCCCAATGTTATTAACATTGGGCTTCAGTAAAGCAAATAATTTAATAATTAGACAGCGCCTATATCAGGCATCCCCAACCTGCAGCCCTCCAGATGTTTTGGCCTACAACTCCCATGATCCCTAGCTAACAGGACCAGTGGTCAGGGATGATGGGAATTGTAGTTCAAAACATCCAGAGGGCCGAAGGTTGGGGATGCCTGGCCTATATGATATCGAGCGGCAGAATAATCTGGCTTTTTGGCCACGGTGTGATTGTTTTCCACCTAGTCATTTTGACACTTTGGGCACCCTGTTTGCATAATTTAACAATTCCAAAATATAGAGGTGGTTTCACTTTCGCAAGATTGAATATAGTGCCTTCGGGTCGATTTCAAAAAAATCCAATAGAAAAACGGTTATGTCCCTGCGGAGACGGCAGTATTGAGTCAGTGGCTCGTATGTTTCTGACTTGCACTCTTTATAAAGATTTGAGGAGTGAGGTTATTACCAGCTTACCAGCTAACACAGAGCTATCAAGTTCTTTTCTTTTTGAATTGCTTTATTGAACTTAGAAAAACATAACACAAAATCAAGGTTATCCATAAAAAACAACAACAAATATCAAAATCTGTGACATTTTTTCACAGTCTTCTTTTGATTCCAATGTTGTTGTTGTTGTTGTTGAGTCGTTTAGTCGTGTCCGACTCTTCGTGACCCCCTGGACCAGAGCACGCCAGGCACTCCTGTCTTCCACTGCCTCCCGCAGTTTGGTCAAACTCATGCTGGTAGCTTCGAGAACACTGTCCCACCATCTCGTCCTCTGTCGTCCCCTTCTCCTTGTGCCCTCCATCTTTCCCAGCATCAGGGTCTTTTCCAGGGAGTCTTCTCTTCTCATGAGGTGGCCAAAGTCTTGGAGCCTCAGCTTCAGGATCTGTCCTTCCAGTGAGCACTCAGGGCTGATTTCCTTCAGAATGGATAGGCTTGACCTTCTTGCAGTCCATGGGACTCTCAAGAGTCTCCTCCAGCACCAGAATTCAAAAGCATCAATTCTTCGGCGATCAGCCTTCTTGATGGTCCAGCTCTCACTTCCATACATATAGAATTATAACAATACAATACAAAATACATATCCATATTTAGAGATTTCCCCAAATCTCTGGACTTCTCACCTCCCCTTCCATGTGTTCTATTGCCATCCTTTTCAACTGCATATTATTTCATAATCCATGTTTTATAGCTCTCCATTTTGTCCATAATATTTGCTACATTACAAGTGTTACTGTGATCCTCCTAGTGTTTTCAACTACTTACAGTGGTTGCAGCCCCCTACCCCGTGAGATGTGTTTAAATTGCCTTCCCATTTTCTGTGTCTCCACGCACACCTCTTATGTTCCCTTCCGGACCTTCCAAGTGTCCCTATTTTCCAGGGACAGCCCTGGATTTACAGAAGCTGTCCCAGTTTCTAATTTGATCCCACTCTCCCTTAGGACGTCTCTATTGTCATCGGAGAAACATTGAAGGGTATGGTAGGATGTCCCTGTTTTCGTTAGAGAAGCGTTGGAGGGTATGACGTTAATGCAACCTCCCCGAGCCAAGAAGATAAGTAACTATACAGCCTTTAGAAGAGATTTGAAGGCAGCTTTGTATAGTTTTATTATATTTTTATATATATTGGAAGCCGCCTGGAGTGGCTGGGGCAATCCAATCAGATGGGGAGGGTATAAATAATAAAAAATATTATTATAGAGTAAGTAAAGGGACCCCTAACCATTAGGTCCAGTCATGGCCGTCTCTGGGGTTGCGGCGCTCATTTCGCTTTACTGGCCGAGGGAGCCGGCGTCCAGCTTCCGGGTCATGTGGCCAGCATGACTAAGCCGCTTCTGGCGAACCAGAGCAGCGCATGGAAATGCCGTTTACCTTCCCGCCAGAGTGGTACCTATTTATCTACTTGCACTTTGACGTGCTTTCGAACTGCTAGGTTGGCAGGAGCTGGAACAATGGGAGCTCACCCCGTCACGGGGATTCGAACCGCCAACCTTCTGATCGGCAAGTCCTAGGCTCTGTGGTTTAACCCACAGCGGCACCCGCATCCCTTAGATGTAGGACGTCCCTATTTTCAGAAATATTGGAGTGTTTGCTCTCCTGATTGATGGTACACACTGGTGCTGGGAGTTTCTCCCCTTGGTGGGATGAGTAGCAAATAGCAAGACAATCGCGTGTTCTTAAGGCGGTAGCACAGGGGGCTGAGTCACGGCACTCAGCAGGGAATGAGCGCCAGGGAATCTGATACACACACCCCCACCCATGGTACTGACTGACCTTTTATATGCTCACACATTTGGAAGAGGGCTTGGAAATGTCGTGGAAAATCTCAGCCATGTGCTAAAGGGAAGTTGTCAGCTGCCAGGGGGGTCAGAAGGACTTGGGAGCAGGTGTCCGGGGGGGCGACTCAGCAGGAGGAGCAGGTGAGGTGTCCCGTCTGTCCCCCCACTCAAGGAAGAAAACCCCAAACGCAGTAGGACCGGCTTGCCCACATTCTGAAATAAAGCAAGCGATACGAATTGCCATCTATAGGGCACCCCCTTGGGGCCATTATGCACGATTCTAAAATTACCCAACTGAACCACTGCTCTGGTTCATCGTCGGGTATCAAGGGAACACAATATGAGCCTTTCCTTCCATGGGCATAGCCAGGATTTATGTTTATGGGGTGTGGGGGGCGAGACACCCACCTGTCTTCATCCTCTGTATGGGCTCCACCTAGCAGATCCGGAATGAAATGTCTCCACGCCACTTGTTTCGAGTTATAGTGGTACCTTCGTTCCTGGACAGCTGCGTTGAGGAACAGATCGGTTCCCGAATGCCGCAAACCCAAAAGTAAGCGTTCCAGTATGCAAACGTTTTTCGGAAGCCGAACATCCATTTTGACTGTTGGCTATTGTTTACAACTGAATTGTTGTACTGTTTTTAACACTTGATTGGGAGCTGCCCAGAGTGGCTGGGGAAACTCAGCCAGATTTCTTCTTTCTTCTTCTTCTTCTTCTTCTTCTTCTTCTTCTTCTTCTTCTTCTTCTTCCTCTTCTTCTTCCAGGACCAACCAGCCAATTGGAAGCCATGTCTTGGTTTGCGAACGTCTTGGAAGTCAAACGGACTTCCAGGAAACAGATTGAGTTCTAGAACCAAGTTGCTGAACCCATGACTGAAAACTATGGCCAGAAAAGCCACCTTGATTGGACTGACATCATCCCTCTTATATCATCTGGGTTACGACACTGGCCTTGAATCCCGGAGGCAAAGGTTTTGGGACATCTCACATAGCGACCTGCGATCCAGATCTTATGTAATTTGTAGCCCGGTCGCAGCTGGAACCCAATATGGGTATGACTTTCAGATATCCTCATACCTTAGGAATTTGTCTGTACCTATCGGTGTTTATTTACTAAAGCCAGACTAAGTATAATTCCCTCAGAAGTTCTAAATGGCAGACTGAGGGGTGTCCCATATCAGAATAGGTTTCCCAGGACGTTGATTGTATGAAGCATATCCTAAGCATTGTGAAGATCAAACCCTGAAGCCTTCCTTTTAGGAATTCTAGGTGCCAAAATCCCAAGGGAGCAGAAAAGACTATTTATGTATGTGACCACGGCTGCACGGATGTGATTGGTCCAGCAATGGAAAGAAGCTAAAGTTTCCACCAGAGAAGAATGGCAGATGAAGTTGATGGACTACACCGAAATGGCTAAAATGACTGGAAGAGTCAGAAATCAGGAAGACCAAAATTATAGTAAGGAATGGGGAAAATTTATAAGACAGTTCAAAATCATTAGCAGGATTGGAATAGCACTTGTAGTTTAAGGTTGATTCTGGACATAATGGAAGGGGTGAAGGGTTTGGATGATCCTAAAAGATACGAGAGGAAAGGATTAATAATAGGACCCACAAAGGGGAGGAGGAAAGTCCAGGAGATTCCTTGGAATCTTGTTTTTTATGCTTTATGTTTGATATATCTCTGTAAAAATTTTCAATAAATTAAAAATAAAAGCATTAGGAATATATTTATTTATTTACCTTTTGACCACAGGTTGACTCTGTGCAGTTGCATTGGCAGATCTAGTAGTGCAGGAACATTTCCTTTAAAATAATAAATTATTAAGAGTTTCAACATACCCAAATTATCAAAACATATCATCTTCTTTTCATTCCCCCCTTTTTCCCCTCCCCTCCAAATAACCTTCCTCTCCCCCAAGACTTCCCTCAGTTCCTCTCTCTGACTTTTCAACACATGTTTTCTCTGCATGTTATAAAAATGTAAAAATCTCTAAATCCTCCATCTAATATATTAACAAATAAATTTGTGTCAAGTTTATTCAAAACCTGCCAAGGAGTCCAATTCGCTTTGTTGTTTCTTTAAATAGTCTGTAAATGAGTTTGCCATTCTTCTTTGAAGTCACAGTTGTCCTTATCCCACTGGTTGTTTCATCAATTTTGCCAGTTCCACATGAAGTCCACCAGTTATCTTGCCTCTTCTTTGTCCGGGTTTCTTCATTCTTCCATCCTTGTGCTACTAAATTACCTTGCCGCCATTGTCACGGCTACATGTCTCTTCTTCATTTTCCTTAGCCCAGGTCTTTTCCTACAATCCCCTAACAGAAATGCTTCTGGTTTTTACAAATGTTAGTTTGAACATTTTCTTTAACTCATGATGTATCATTTCAGCTTTTTAATTTCTCCTACAATCCACCACATATGATAAAAATTCCCTTCTTCTTCCTTACATTTCAGCATATATTTGAGCCAGTTTTATACATTCTTGCTATCTGTACAATTATTTATATACCATCTATACATCATTTTCATGTGAGTACGGGAATAACAGGGTGCTCGAAACCGCGATCTTCCAGACGACGTGAAACCGTGTTGTGTAAAGGAGATGTGAGCAGGTGGAAAGACCGCTCGGCGGCCTCCTCGCTTCGAGGGATTAGTCTTCTCTCGCCGGAGGGGGGTGAGAAGAGGTTATGTGAGGTCTCCAGGCCTCTGGAACAGCCCCACTGCAAATTCTGCAAAGGGCGGAAGGGGGGGGGGTGTGAACCAACCCTTCGCCTTCAGGAGTTTGGCTCGGAGAAATCCCTGAGCCGCTGCCAACTCCCCGGGCCTTTAACCAAAGTTGGGAAAGAAGGTCGGCTGGACAAGCTTCCTGCTATTAATAGAGGCCGGATTTCTCTCTCCCTATAATGTGCAGCCTTGCAGAAGTGGAACGAAAGATGCTCAACAGAGGGCAAGCGGCAGGGGGGTGCGTACTCAGAGATATTAGGTATATTAAAAAGCCAAGAGAACCAGTTTCTCCCTACTTCTCCCCCCTCTCCAAAACACACCAAATATTTGTGTGTTTTTTTAATTCTTTGATTAACAACCAAACAGCGTACAATCAACCTACTTGAAATAAAAGTTTAAAAAAATTAAAAATTGTCCAGTAGCACCTTATAGACCAACTCAGTTTCTTCTGGTACAAGCTTTCGTGTGCATGCACACTTATTCAGATGCTTGTTGTTGTTGTTTAGTCGCTTAGTCCTATCCGACTCTTCGTGACCCCCTGGACCAGAGCACGCCAGGCACTCCTGTCTTCCACTGCCTCCCGCAGTTTGGTCAAACTCATGTTAGTAGCTTCGAGAACACTGTCCCACCATCTTGTCCTCTGTCGTCCCCTTCTCCTTGTGCCCTCCATCTTTCCCAACATCAGGGTCTTTTCCAGGGAGTCTTCTCTTCTCCTGAGGTGGCCAAAGTCTTGGAGCCTCAGCTTCAGGATCTGTCCTTCCAGTGAGCACTCAGGGCTGATTTCCTTCAGAATGGAGAGGTTTGATCTTCTTGCAGTCCATGGGACTCTCAAGAGTCTCCTCCAGCACCAGAATTCAAAAGCATCCATTCTTCGGCGATCAGCCTTCTTTATGGTCCAGCTCTCACTTCCATACATCACTACTGGGAAAATACAGTGGTACCTCGGGTTAAGTACTTAATTCATTCCGGAGGTCTGTTCTTAACCTGAAACTGTTCTTAACCTGAAGCACCACTTTAGCTAATGGGGCTGCCTGCAGCAGCTGCGCTGCAGAGCCCGATTTCTGTTCTCATCCTGAAGCAAAGTTCTTAACCTGTAGCACTATTTCTGGGTTAGCGGAGTCTGTAACCTGAAGCGTATGTAACCTGAAGCGTATGTAACCCGAGGTACCACTGTACAAACATTAGAGGAGAACGTTTTGCAGAAATAGATATGTTAGACAAAATACACTGAAGCGTACTGTAGTTTTCGGTGTATAAGACAAGCTTTTTTTCCCCCTTTAAAAAGGATGTTTAAAATTTGGGCTCGTCTTATACATGGTAGTTCAGAGTGGGGGCTGGCTCAACAACTCTGGGAAATCCCCCCCCCCCATTTTCTTAAATCAGAGTCCCCCAAAATAGGGGTCGTGTTATACACAAGGGCGTGTTATACATGGAAAAATACGCTATATATCAGGAGATATTCCAACTAAACCACTAATGAATTTTCATGACTTTTTTTAAAAAACTGCGATCTGATGTGGGAAATGTTGGAGAACTGGAATTAGGATTGGGAGAAAAAGGGAAGGAAAAGAAAACTTGGCTATATGCAACCTGCGCCTGTGTAATTTGTTTCTTAAAAAAACAGCACTGAATCTGCTCTCTCTCTGTGTGCAGTTTTGCAATGACTTGCAAGAATATTGCAATTATCTGCACATCCGGTGCTTTTCATTTGGATAAAAAATAGGTGGTGGAACTCACAACAAAGTTGGCTTGTTTGTTTTATTGCAATTGTTTTATTGCAATTGTTTTATTGTTTTATTGCAGTGCCACACACACACAAAAATCCTGGGCAGTAAGATGTGATTAATAAACTCAAGCAGACAATGGTCTGGATTAGAAATGGCCACCATTTTATCGATTATAGACATAGGTGGATTTTGAGCTCAGGCATTGGGTATATATCCATTCCAGCCCCCCCTCCAGTCAAATACAGTGGTTGTTGTTTAGTCGTTTAGTCGTGTCAGCCTCTTCATGACGCCCTGGACCAGAGCACGCCAGGCCCTCCTGTCTTCCACTACCTCCCGCAGTTTGGTTAGACTCATGTTTGTAGCTTCGAGAACACTGTCCCACCATCTCGTCCTCCGTCGTCCCCTTCTCCTTGTGCCCTCCATCTTTCCCAACATCAGGGTCTTTTCCAGGGAGTCTTCTCTTCTCATGAGGTGGCCAAAGTCTTGGAGCCGCTTTGGTGGAGGGAAGTCTGAGAATTGGGAGGGGGTTTAAAAATGTTTTCTTTTCGGTTATTTTTTAATGTTAATGAGAAATGTGCGGGGTAATATGGTATTGATACAATGTGGCATATAATTGAAAACTAATAAAAATTATTTGACAACAACAAAAATTTATTTATTTATATACAGTGGTACCTCGGGTTACAGACGCTTCAGGTTACAGACTCTGCTAACCCAGAAATAGTGCTACAGGTTAAGAACTTTGCTTCAGGATGAGAACAGAAATCGGGCTCTGGCGGCGCAGCTGCAGCAGGAGGCCCCATTAGCTAAAGTGGTGCTTCAGGTTAAGAACAGTTTCAGGTTAAGAACAGACTTCCGGAATGAATTAAGTACTTAACCCAAGGTACCACTGTACGCTATTGGCACACTTTACCCTAGTATCACGGTAGCAATTTTTTTTCCTGGGGAACACCATTGCAAAATTCAGTTACGTGTGAATTTCTGAGGCTGGCTGCACTTCGGTTCTCATCTTGTTTCGGAAAATGTGGATTAGGGAGGTTTGCCTTCAAGTGCAAAGTTAGACTTAGTTTCTCCTCCCCATCTGCAGCTGTCAGTCAATGTGGAGAGTCACATGCAATATGATATCACTCCAGGGTGTTACTGAACATCAAAGGGCATCAGTCGAGACCTTACGAGGACTGAGTGGATGTTAAAATGCTTTAATTAAAATAACAAATCTCTCCACAAAGTGCATGCAGTTAAAGAATGAGTCATTGACTTCTGAAACTTCTTACCTTGACATATCAAGTTTACACATGAGAAAGAAAGAAAGAAAGAAAGAAAGAAAGAAAGAAAGAAAGAAAGAAAGAAATCTCTAGAGTTTGCAAGTGTTGTGTTATTGTGGAGAAGAAGGAGAGTCTGCCTCATAGTTTTCCCCAACCCAATACCTTGGGTTAAGAACTTAATTCATTCTGGAGGTCCGTTCTTAACCTGAAACTGTTCTTAACCTGAGGCACCACTTTAGCTAATGGGGCCACCCGCTGCCGCCGCTGCGCGATTTTTGTTTTCATCCTGAAGCAAAGTTCTTAACCCGAGGTACTATTTCTGGGTTAGCGGAATCTGTAACCTGAAGCGTCTGTAACCTGAAGCATCTGTAACCCAAGGTACCACTGTAGGTAGATTACACATGTTCTTAGGGCACCAGCAAAGCTTGTTTAAAGGATTTGAAATTTTCTATTTTTTATAAAGTGCCTCAAAACAGTCATCATGGGAAAAATCAGAACTTCCGCCATCACTACAGATTCTTTCTCCACTTTTCTGTTCTTATTTTTTTACTTAAAGGTAAATGGACCCCTGACCATTAGGTCCAGTCGTGGCCGACTCTGGGGTTGTGCCGCTCATCTCGCTTTACTGGCCAAGGGAGCCGGCATACAGCTTCCGGGTCATGTGGCCAGCATGACTAAGCCGCTTCTGGCGAACCAGAGCAGCGCACAGAAACACCGTTTACCTTCCCGTCGGAGTGGTACCTATTTATCTACTCGTAGTTTGATGTGCTTTCGAACTGCTAGGTTGGCAGGAGCTGGGACCGAGCAACGGGAGCTCACCCCATCGTGGGGATTCGAACCGCCGACCTTCTGATCAGCAAGTCCTAGGCTCTGTGGTTTAACCCACAGCGCCACCCGCGTCCCATTTTATTACTTATTCCCACCCGAAACCAGGGGGCATCCTAGTAATCTGATCAGGAGAGCTCGAAATTAAACCCTGACAGGGAGGGAGGCAGTATTACAGATGACATCAGAACACCTGTTACTGGGGACAATAACTTCACTGATCCACAGGAAACTAGGGTGGCGCTAGAGGACCCAGCTAATGGTCAGGAAACGACAAGAAGGAAATCCAGCTCTCACTTCCATACATCACTGCTGGGAAGACCATAGCTTTAACTATACGGACCTTTGTCGGCAAGGTGATGTCTCTGCTTTTTAAGATGCTGTCTAGGTTAGTCATCGCTTTTCTCCCAAGAAACAGGCGTCTTTTAATTTTGTGACTGCTGTCACCATCTGCAGTGATCATGGAGCCCAAGAAAGTAAAATCTCTCGCTGCCTCCATTTCTTCCCCTTCTATTTTCCAGGAGGTGATGGGACCAGGGGCCATGATATTAGGAATTGTAGGTACCGATATTCCAATGGAGCAGAACGGGCTTTTTATGTATGCAACAACAGCTGCACAGATGTTATTAGCCCAAAGATGGAAAGAAGACGAAGTCGCTACCAGAGAAAAATGGCAAACCAAGCAGTTGGATTATGCCGTAATGGCGAAACTGACCGGAAAGCTCAGGAACCAAGAAGACCAAAACTTCAATAAAGAATGGGGGGGAATTATAACATATCTAGGAGGCCACTGTACGCAGATGAGAACATTAGCAGGATTGCAATAACAACTGTAATGTAGCAAATATTATGGACAGAAAGGAGAGATATAAAATATGGGTTATGAAATAATATTCAGTTGAAAAGGTTGACTATAGGACCCATGGATGGGAAGGTGGAAAGTCCAGAGATTCAGTAAAGGTAAAGGTAAAGGGACCCCTGACCATTAGGTCCAGTCGTGACTGACTCTGGGGTTGCGGTGCTCATCTCGCTTTATTGGCCGAGGGAGCCGGCGTACAGCTTCCGGGTCATGTGGCCAGCATGACTAGGCCGCTTCTGGCGAACCAGAGCAGCGCATGGAAATGCTGTTTACCTTCCCGCCAGAGTGGTACCTATTTATCTACTTGCACTTTGACGTGCTTCCAAACTGCTAGGTTGGCAGGAGCAGGGACCGAGCAACGGGAGCTCACCCCGTGACGGGGATTCGAACCGCTAACCTTCTGATCGACAAGTCCTAGGCTCTGTGGTTTAACCCACAGCGGCACCCGCATCCCTTTCAGAGATTCAGAGAAATCTCTAAATATGGATATGTATTTTCTATTGTATTGTTATAATTCTATATTTGTAAAACCAAATAAAAATTATTATTTTTAAAACGAACAAAGGTGGATTGCTTTGCTCAGGTTTGTCCACACTGTGGCTCTCTAAGATTTTAGGCAATTGTTGTCCCTAGTCCTTCTAGAGGTGACGAAGGTTGAATCTGGTAGCCTTCTATGGATTTTTGTCCTGCCCTGATGATGTTCAGTAAAGCAAAACGAGAGACCAAATGTTCAAATGTTTCTTTATTGAGTATCCTGTGTGTTCTGGCACAAGCAGTTGCACATATAAAAACAATTAGGGTGGGAATTAAAAATGTACAAACCATTCAAAACAACAGCACAGGGGGTTGGAATAGATGATGCTCAGGGTCCTTTTACAACTCTACGATTCTTGCCTTCTCAGCTCTTTTTTTCAATTTTTTCCCAATTTTTTTTATTGATTTTCACAAACAAACAAACATAAATCATAACCTTATTAAAATTGTACTTATTAACATTGTTAAGTGACTCCCTCGCTTCCCCTTGGTTGAGCTTCAATGCATATCCTTTTAACGGTTTTCCAAATCAGAGTTCTTATAAACTTAACTTAATCATTTAACATCCTTATAATGCTTCAATTCGAAATTAAACATACAGTGGTACCTCGGGTTAAGTACTTAATTCGTTCCGGAGGTCCTTTCTTAACCTGAAACTGTTCTTAACCTGAAGCACCACTTTAGCTAATGGGGCCTCCCGCTGCTGCCGCCGCACGATTTCTGTTCTCATCCTGAAACAAAGTTCTTAACCTGAAGCACTATTTCTGGGTCAGCAAAGTCTGTAACCTGAAGCGTCTGTAACCTGAAGCATATGTAACCCGAGGTACCACTGTATTAATTCATCACTTAACTTATATAAAATCCTAAGCCAATCTAATACCTGCAAGCTATTTCCAATTAGATTAACTTAACAGCTTTAACCAAATAATCATTAAATTTTGTCCATTCTTCCTCCCGCATTTCCTCCCCTGTGGTGAAAACCTTTTCTTCAGCTTTGGAGGAATTGCAGAGTGCTACATACACCAGGAACCTAGTCATGCAGGCGAATCCTTTGTCTACAAGCCTGCTTTCATCGCCACCCAGTTCCACCCCTCCTCTATTCTCTCTCTCTCTCTCTCACTGGACTACATTTCCCAGCATGCTCTTCCATCTGCGCAGAGAGGAAGGGCAGTAAGTTCAGAAGCATTTCTCTGCCCCTACCCTCCCCTCCACCCAGCCACAACCCCCCAATCAGCTTTGTTAATTCCACAAGAGGGAGGGGGAAAGGACCAATTCCTCCCCTGCCTCACAGCATCCTTCCTGGTCCATGACAGAGGAAGCAGCTGAAGATGGGGGACCAAAAGGTAAAAAGATGCTGATGCGAGGGATGCAGAGGAAAAAAAGAGGGAGGATACAGGATGCACCAACCAGGAAGCTGAGGACGATGGAGAGATGGAGAGGTGCTCGCTTTGGGCCAAAGGAGTTTCTGTCTCCGCCCTTCATCTCTGCTTTGTCATCCTCGTTCCCCGTCGACTTTGCATCTTAGGGGAGGTTGCAAAGGTGCGGAGTTTGGGAGTTGCCTTTGCAGACTGAGATGGAAAAGGCAGAGAGGGGGTTAAGGAGCGCTTTCTGCGTTTGCGACCTCAGGACGGCGGGTGTCTGTCTGCGTTGCCTCTCAGGCTGCGAGCACAGGCGCTAGTACAGTGGGGTGTGCCTCCAAAGTCAAGCAAAATAAAATCCCTACAGGTAGAAAGCTAGGCCTTCTCCTGCTATCCTGCTTTTCTGTGTGCAAGGATTTTTTAAAAAATGTAGAAGAGAGCACTGCCAAAGCGGTGTGGATATTGTGCTAAAGGAACCAGGGGTCTGGCTCATAAAAGACAGCTTCTTTGTGTTCAGGCTTCTCATGAGAACTAGAATCTTCCTTAATTTTGTAGCTCTGCCATAGCTGAGTGGCAGAACATTTGCTTGGCAAGCAGAGATCCAGATTCAAATCTTGGGCATCTCCAAGGAAGGATGGGAGATGTTCCACGGCTGAAACTTTGGAGAGCTACTGTGAGTTAAGATGGACCAGTGGTTTGGCTAGGGGGAAACTTAGAATCATAGAATTGTAGGGTTGGAAGGGACCCCAAGGGTCATCTAGTCCAACCCCAGGCAATGCAGGAATGTATTTTTTAAAGTATGGTTGTCTTAAAGATAATCAATAAATGGAATTGCAAAGAGAAATGTTTTGCCTGTCCGGTGTTTTAAAAATGCTTTATCAGGAGACTTACAATTTTGACCTATGTTCCGTTTTGCAAAATTCAAAACTCACGTGCCCACTCAACCGCTTTGATCAGCAGGTGCCACGCAATAGCCGCTCCACATTTAATAATAATTTACTGCCTCTTGAGCTCAAGCAAGGCATCTTCATGTTACCTTTCCCAGCGCCTGCCTAAAGCATCCCTGTTTGGGCAAGCCTAACCAGATTTTTAGAAAGCTGAGCTAACTGTGATCTTTTCCAGTATTTTAGCTTTTGTATGTTTTAAAATTGGGCTGTAGGTTTTCTTGGTTTTATTGACTTACCTGTTTTGTAAACCGCTTTGAAGTTATTGTTGTTGTTTTACAATCAAGTGGTGTGTAAATTTTATGACATAAAGATAGAGATGAGAGATGAGAGATGAGAGATGAGAGATGATGAGAGATAGATAGATAGATAGATAGATAGATAGATAGATAGATAGATAGATGATAGATAGATAGATAGATAGATAGATAGATAGATAGATAGATAGATAGATATAGATGATAGACAGATGATAGGTAGGTAGACAGATATAGATAGATATAGATAGATAATAGACAGACAGATGATAGATAGACAGACAGACAGACAGATATAGATAGATATAGATAGATAATAGACAGACAGATGATAGATAGACAGACAGACAGATATAGATAGATAGATATAGATAGATAATAGACAGACAGATGATAGATAGACAGACAGATATAGATAGATAGATATAGATAGATAATAGACAGATAGATAGATAGATAGATAGATAGATAGATAGATAGATAGATATAGATAGATAGATAGATGATAGATAGATAGATAGATAGATAGATGATAGATAGATGATAGATAGATAGATAGATAGATAGATATAGATATAGATAGATATAGATAGATGATAGACAGATGATAGACAGATGACAGACAGCTATAGACAGACAGACAGACAGACAGACAGACAGCTATAGACAGATGATAGATAGATAGATAGATAGATAGATAGATAGATAGATGATAGATATAGATAGATAGATGATAGATAGATAGATAGATAGATAGATAGACAAACAGATAGACAGACAGATAGATAGATACAGATAGATAATAGACACGGAGATGATAGACAGACAGACATAGATAGATGATAGATAGATAGATAGATAGATGATAGATAGATAGATATAGATGATAGATAGATAAATAAATAGATGATAGATAGACAGATAGGTGTTTAGGATTTGTGTGCCCTGCCTTTCACTGGCTATATTATTGATTATTTTGTTGTTTACTTGTCACTGCAATTTCATGACAATTTGAAAAGCAAATTTTAAAAAGTTTCATTGAGAAAGTGGGCGCGTATCTGACCTCCCCAGGTAGCTCAGTGAGCAGAGCATGAGACTCTTAATCTCAGGGCCAAGGGTTCGAGCCCCACGCCAGGCGGAAGAGTCCTGCATCACAAGGGGGTTGGACTAGATGACCCTCGGGTGTCTCTTCTGACTCCACAATTCTATTATTATCGTGTATACTCAATAGCAAGGACATCTGGGTGGTTAAAGTGTCATTAGAGGGCATGGAAGGAATGCATGAGCACACGCAAATAAAAGAAACCGTTGACTCAAGGTGTTTTTTCCCTAAGGACGCCCTTAGGAAGATCATCACCACCCTGGCTGTGAAAAATGAGGAAATCCAAAATTTCATCTACGTCCTCAAACAGATGCTACAGAACGTGGAGGTAACTTGGCTGAGGGTTCAGGGGTCAGCAGAGTTTGATTTCTGCAGTGAGAGGTCCTGGCGCAGACCCTCGTCAAAGGAAGTTGCATGACTGTATAAACAGCCTACTAGATAAAGGGTAAAGGGACCCCTGACCATTAGGTCCAGTCGTGGCCGACTCTGGGGTTCATCTCGCTTTATTGGCCGAGGGAGCCGGCGTACAGCTTCCGGGTCATGTGGCCAGCAGGATTAAGTCGCTTCTGGCGAACCAGAGCAGCGCACGGAAACGCCGTTTACCTTCCCGCCAGAGTGGTATCTATTGATCTACTTGCACTTGATGTGCTTTCGAACTGCTAGGTTGGCAGGAGCAGGGACCGAGCAACGGGAGCTCACCCCGTCGCGGGGATTCAAACCGCCGACCTTCCAATCGGCAAGCTCTAGGCTCTGTGGTTTCACCCACAGAGCCACCCGCGTCCTAAACAGCCTACTACTTCAAGCCCAATGTTATTAACATTGGGCTTCAGTAAAGCAAATAATTTAATAATTAGACAGCGCCTATATCAGGCATCCCCAACCTGCGGCCCTCCAGATGTTTTGGCCTACAACTCCCATGATCCCTAGCTAACAGGACCAGTGGTCGGGGATGATGGGAATTGTAGTCCAAAACATCTGGAGGGCCGAAAGTTGGGGATGCCTGGCCTATATGATATTGAGCAGCAGAATAATCTGGCTTTTTGTCCACGGTGTGATTATTTTCCACCTAGTCATTTTGACACTTTGGGCACCCTGTTTGCGTAATTTAACAATTCCAAAATATAGGTTTCACTTTCGCAAGATCGAATATAGTGCCTTCGGGTCGATTTAAAAAAAAACAAAAAACACACTGGAAAAACGGTTATGTTCCTGCGGAGATGGCAGTACTGAGTCAGTGGCTCGTATGTTTCTGACTTGGACTCTTTATAAAGATTTGAGGAGTGAGGTTATTACCAGCTTACCAGCTAACACAGAGCTATCAAGTTCTTTTCTTTTCTTTTTGAATTGATTTATTGGACTTAGAAAAAATAACACAAAATCAAAGTTATCCATAAAAAACAACAACAAATATCAAAATCTGTGACATTTTTTCACAGTCTTCTTTTGGTTCCAATGTTGTTGTTGTTGTTGTTGTTGAGTCGTTTAGTCGTGTCCGACTCTTCGTGACCCCCTGGACCAGAGCACGCCAGGCACTCCTGTCTTCCACTGCCTCCCGCAGTTTGGTCAAACTCATGCTGGTAGCTTCGAGAACACTGTCCCACCATCTCGTCCTCTGTCATCCCCTTCTCCTTGTGCCCTCCATCTTTCCCAGCATCAGGGTCTTTTCCAGGGAGTCTTCTCTTCTCATGAGGTGGCCAAAGTCTTGGAGCCTCAGCTTCAGGATCTGTCCTTCCAGTGAGCACTCAGGGCTGATTTCCTTCAGAATGGAGAGGTTTGATCTTCTTGCAGTCCATGGGACTCTCAAGAGTCTCCTCCAGCACCATAATTCAAAAGCATCCATTCTTCGGCGATCAGCCTTCTTTATGGTCCAGCTCTCACTTCCATACATCACTACTGGGGAAAACCATAGCTTGAACTATGCGGACCTTTGTTGGCAAGGTGATGTCTCTGCTTTTTAAGATGCTGATTTTAAGATGCTGGTTCCATATCTATTTCATCCCAAAATTCCTTAATCTTTTTGCATGTCCACCACATATGCAGTATAAATCCCACTGTTTTTCCACATCTATAACATTTATATGATACATTTTTGTATCAAGTTCATACATGCCTGATTTCATCTTGCCAGGCCAATTCAGACCGAGTCCAGCAAGACCTTGAGGCAGAGTTCCAGTCACTGTTCACCCTGTTGGATGAGCTGAAAGATGGGATGCTGATGAAGATCAAACAGGATCGAGCCAGCAGGACTTACGAGTTGCAGGTAAGGGGCTCCTGAGTTGTCTGGCCAGAGTGGTCCATGCTCTGGTTATCTCCCGCTTGGACTACTGCAATACTCTCTACCTGGGGCTACCTTTGAAGGTGACCCGGAAACTACAACTAATCCAGAATGCAGCAGCTAGACTGGTGACTGGGAGCAGCCGCTGAGACCATATAACACCGTTCCTGAAAGACCTGCATTGGCTCCCAGGACATTTCCAAGCACAATTCAAAGTGTTGGTGCTGACCTTAGAAGCCCTAAATGGCTTTGGTCCACTATACCTGAAGAAGCGTCTCCACCCCCATCATCCAACCCGGACACACTGAGGTCCGGCTCCGAGGGCCTTCTGGTGGTTCCCTCATTGTGAGAAGTGAGGATACAGGGAACCAGGCAGAGGGCCTTCTCGGTGGTGGCACCTGCCCTGTGGAACGCTCTCCTGTTCAAGGTCAAGGAAATAAACAACTAGCTGACTTTTAGAAGACATCTGAAGGCAACCCTGTTTAGGGAAGTTTTTAATGTTTGATGTTTTATTGTGTTTTTAATATTCTATTGGGAGCTGTCCAGAGTGGGTAGGGAAACTCAGCCAGATGGGCGGGGTATAAATAATAAATTATTATTATAATTATAACCTGCATGGACTGTCTCACCAGAGAGCGTATACTCAGTCTGCTTAATTCCTTCGATGACCAGGCAGAACCCTGCCTCAGACATGCTTGCTATAACATCTCTCTCTCTGTGTCTCCTTCTTCTGTTCCACAAACCACTCCTTGCTCCAGAACCAGCTGGCTGCGTGCACAAAAGCCTTGGAGAGCTCCGAGGAACTACTGGAAACAGCCAATCAAACCCTCCAGGGGGCTGAGAACCATGACTTCAACCAGGTACAAAGAGCTGCTCGCTCGACTTGCCTCCCTGGGCAATGCGCTCAGTGGTTCGGGAGTGGGTCAGGTGTAGAGAGCTTGGCGGGTAGTCTCCCAGCCCACATATTTCGGAGAAACAGGATTACCCTACTTTTCGCTCTATAAGACGCACCAGACCACAAGACGCACCTAGTTTTTGGAGGAGGAAAACAAGAAAAAAATGTATTCTGAATCTCAGAAGCAAGAACAGCAAGAGGGATCACTGCACAGTGAAAGCAGCAATCCCTCTTGCTGTTCTGGCTTCTGGGATAGCTGCGCAGCCTGCATTCGCTCCATAAGACGCACACGCATTTCCCCTTACTTTTTAGGAGGGAAAAAATGAGTCTTATAGAGCAAAAAATACGGTAAATGGTGACGGAACAGATGCAAGGCTCTGCAAAGCCTGTGTGACTTTGGAAATATTTCGGGATTCCTGTTGACGCAGAGCCCAAAGCGGCCTGCGCTTCTGTGGGAATTTAGGTGGGGGCCCTGTAAGCCACCAACAAAGAGCGAGCGCAAGAGCAATAAGGCCATCATTATCAGATTATGATTATTGATTAAATGTGTATCCCTCCTGAAATATACTCGGAGTCGAGAGTGGATTTCATGCTCTGTATTCAGCTCATAGTGGTGAGGAGGAATGGAAGTTCCCCCACAATATCTGCTTTATATACATTATTTACACAATGGGCTGCACGTGATTGGCTAATTCTGGGATTCTCCTGTAGGCCAGTCAGGTTGCGGATTCACTTCCATCTGGAGCTGGATTGGGTGGCTCCTGCGGACCAATCATACTGCTGCATTGTTCTATGACCAATCAGACTGCTGCATCCTGGATCCTATTGTTCTAGGACCAATCAGACTGCGGCATTTTGGATACTATTCAACTCAGTACATAACACCGCCCAATAACTGCAGGTCTCTGACCATGCATTTTAGGAACAGATGGTTGATAGGCTTTTACGTTCAATCGCGGGATCATGAGTTCTGAGGCCGAATGGGGGAGTTCGGAGGGGACAGACGGACGGCAGTTTCAGGGATGTGCTTTTAAACTTGGTTTGCATGGGTATTCCTTAGTCTAGTACAGAGATGGGGAACCTTGCGGAGGGCCCTCAACTAAAGGTAAAGGGGCCCCTGACCACAAGGTCCAGTCGTGACCGACTCTGGGCTTGCGGCGCTCATCTCGCTTTACTGGCTGAGGGAGCCGGTGTACAGCTTCCAGGTCATGTGGCCAGCAGGACTAAGCTGCTTCTGGCGAACCAGAGCAGCGCACGGAAACGCCGTTTACCTTCCCGCCGGAGCGGTACCTATTTATCTACTTGCACTTTGACGTTCTTTTGAACTGCTAGGTTGGCAGGAGCAGGGACCGAGCAACGGGAGCTCACCCCGTTGTGGGGATTCGAACTGCCAACCTTCTGATCAGCAAGTCCTAGGCTCTGTGGTTTAACCCACAGCGCCACCCGCGTCCCATATGCCCAGAACTTACTTGACTGCAAAACCCATCATCCCTGACCATCGGCTGCTGGGGCAACACCCGGGAAGTTGCATGTTCTCCATCTCTGTACAAGCAATGTGTTGGTGCTGTTTTCCTCATCTTGAATTATAACTGGTGACCCCCTCCCTCCCTCCCTTTCTCTCTCTCTTTTTTACTCTTTCGCCCTCTTTCTCGCGCTTCTTTGAAGGCTGCTAAACAGATCAAAGACAGGTACGTTGCATTCCGGAAAAAACCTCTTGCTCCACAAGTTTTCTCCTCTGCCAAAGACCACGTTTAGACCAAAGGGCATAAAATATACCGCCATGGTCCCTGTGCCCAGGCCCCCATCCCACACCCCTCCTGCCTTATCCAAGGCCCAACTTGCTGCAGACCAATTTATTTTCGACGCACCCCCGACCTTTTCCTGAATTTCAGTTATGGCGGGCGAGAGACTTTAGCGGTTCATACGCAGCGTGGAGAGGGATGCTCAAGTGTCTAATCCTCATATTATTCTTGGCCTTCCCTCCCCCTGCAAGGAAAGTCCACTTTGTACGTGCTCAGAAGCAACCTGCCCCATCCTGTACAAAAATACTGAAACTCACCTTTGCTTGTAGACAGGGAAAGACGCTTTGCGCATGTTCTGTGGCATTCTCTTCCCACCCACCCCCTAAATTGATTTATTGTTATTCACATTTTATACTGTATTTTATGCTGTTTTTTGTTGCATCAAATAATAACAATAATAATTTTAATAATAATAATAATAATAATAATAATAATTTATTATTTATACCCCGCCCATCTGTCTGGATTTCTCCAGCCACTCTAGGCGGCTTCCAATGGAATATTAAAATACAGTAACCTATTAAACATTAAAAGCTTCCCTAAACAGGGCTGCCTTCAGATGTCTTCTAAAAATCTGGTAGTTGTTTTCCTCTTTGACATCTGGTGTTTTAAATAAGTGCTTTAAATTTGTTGTTAGCTGCCCTGAGCCCAGTTTTTGAACCAGGAAGGGTGGGGTATAAATAAAAAAATATTATTATTATTATTATTATTATGAAAACCCTTGGTATTCTCAGTGGTTTCCAGGCTGACCCCTCTCAAAGTCTAGACACTGGGTTCTTGTATGTTTCACAATCTTTGCTCCAAGGCCTCTTTGCTTCGGCCCCACTCCATTTGTGTGGATGTAGTTGGGATGAGGGTTGTCGTTTGGGGAGGGGGGGCTCTCTAACAAATTTCTCTCCACCCCCCTCCCTTCGGACCCGCTCCTTAATTAAGAACTTAATTCGTTCCGGAGGTCCGTATTTAACCTGAAATTGTTCTTAACCTTAAAGCACCACTTTAGCTAATGGGGCCTCCCGCTGCCACCACGATTTCTGTTCTCATCCTGAAGCAAAGTTCTTAACCTGAAGCACTATTTCTGGGTTAGCGGAGTCTGTAACCTGAAGCGTATGTAACCCGAGGTACCACTATAGTTGGGATGAGGGTTGTCGTTTATTTCGGGGGACACTCTCTAACAAATTCCTCTCCTTCCCCCTCCCTTCGGACCCAATCCTCCGCAGCGTGACCATGGCGCCTGCGTTTCGGCTCTCCCTCAAGGCCAAAGTCAGCGACAACATGAGCCACCTGATGGTCGATTTTGGCCAGGAGCGTCGGATATTGCAATCTCTGAAATTTCTGCCAGGTATTCGGGGTTGAACTTTATTACGGTCACAGACCAGGATAAAACAAACAAACAAACAAAAAAAGATATAAATAAAATAGCAGGTTTTGTTTTGTTTTTAACCGATAATTGTTAGAGCAAATAAGGACAAAGAAACAAGCATAGGATAAAACATCTGAATAAAATACAAGATTAAACACGGATAATGGATGGGGGATGTCAGGGAACTGCCATCAGTGCCGGAGGGAGAGAGCAAGCTCCAGAGGGATTCCAGAGAGCGTCCCGGGATTGGGAGAGGCAGCCCATCTTCTGGGGAAGAGAATCAGCGTAGCACCAGTGGAGAAGGGGGGCAGATGGGGGAAGCGGCGAGGCGGTCCCATGACTCCTTGCCGGGGACCAGTGGGGAGAGTTGGGGTCCTCCGCTGCCTACGCCCTCCTTGCGCAGAAGGCTTTCGCGCAGAGAGAGTAGGAGGAGACTAGGCGTCAAAGAGCTTCTTTGCTGGAAGAAGTTTAAGAAACGCCCACTGACGGATTCTGCCAGCGATTGAGACAGCCACGGGTGAGTGGCTGTCTGGACAGAAAAGGTTCGCTCAGGCAACCCAGCCAGGTGTTTGCACCGGCTTACGCACGAGCAACCCCTAGAACCATTACAGGTAAAAACTGATAATTAAAACAGATAAGAAATAAAAACAAGCATTTAAAACAACTGTAGGAGCAGAAGAACTAAAAGACTCGCAGTTAAAACAACTGTAAGAGGCTGCAGAGTAGAAGCCTCTGAAATAGAGGACACTCACAACATTAGAAACTGTTGTGCAAATATGGTTAAAACAGACAATTAAAACAATGTACAACAATAAATTTAGAAACAATGTACAACAATAAACTATCCCAGGGAGTTGACTCAGAGTCACCCATGGAACCGAGTTTGGGGATTTTCATGCCGGACTGTTTTGAGTTGGGCAATGGTCTGCGCCTACAGATTTGTACACAGAATATGGCGACCGTCCAGGTCTTCTTCTGATCTTTGCCTAACAGCAAAAGGTCAAATTTTTACTTTTGCGGGAGGTCGGCAAGCCTCACCAGTAGGGGATCAATGATCTTACTACGTGCCTCTTCATAAAAGGGGTTCCTGGATGGTTAGCATGTCAGGCAAGTACTGCGAGGGAGCTGGGTTCGAATTCCCACTTGCTGGCTGACCGTTTATCAGCCTTACCTACCTCGCAGTGTTGTCACGTTGTCATTTCACCCAAACTTTTTCCTGGTGCTGTGCAAAGTTCTAAGACAACAACACAGTCCCTGTCGTAGATACAAAGGGGGAAAGAACTGGAGGGAGGGAGGGCGAAAGAAGCAGATTCGTGCACAAGTTCTCCTCCCGAAGATTTTTGTAATTATTATTTTAAGGCGGTGGAGCCTAGCCTGCTGCCCTCCTCCCTTGGTTGTTGAGTTCTGCTTGCCTGGAGCTCATCCTACACTCAGCAGTTTGCGAAATAAAATAAATGAATTAAATGAGCCACATGCATTAATTTCGGTGAGTCTGAGTGAGGTTCCTGATCAGGGCCGGATTTAGGTTTGATGAGGCCCTAAGCTACTGAAGGTAATGGGGCCCTTTCTATGTCCAGCTGTCCTTTGTCAACAACAAATTGTCGCTTTTTTTTGGTGTACCACTGTACATAGAAATGAGCAAACCAGTGATATCTGAGGGAGCAGGCTAGCTGTCAACTTACAGATTTGAAAATAAGAGACCAGCAACCTCCAAAATAAGGGATCAACAATTACTTTTATAAAATACATATTTTGTTGCGTGCAAATGGCTTTAGATACCTATTAGGTCCATAAATTACCATATAGCATATATTCAACACACACAAAAACAGCAACAATTTGTTGTTGACAAAGCAAGCTGGACATAGAAAGGGCCCCATTACCTTCAGTAGCTTATTTAAGAGACATCATCAATAAGGGACAGCAGCGGGACATGGCGCTGGGATAAGGGACTGTCCCGCCAAATAAGGGACGCTTGACAGCTATGCCAATATATCCTGATCTATAATTCTGTGCACCTATCCTCTCTGATTGTCCACTTGCAAACCTAGTCCCCAGTGCCCCGGAGATAGACACGGCCGAATCTTTGGTGGCTGATAACTGTGTGACTCTGGTTTGGAGGATGCCCGAAGAGGACAGCAAGATTGATCACTACGTGCTAGAGTATCGTCGGACCAACTTTGAAGGTCCCCCCCGAGTCAAAGAAGACCAGCCATGGATGGTCATCGAAGGAATTAAGGAGACTGAGTATACGCTCTCTGGTGAGACAGCCCATGCAGGTTATAATAATAATAATAATTTATTATTTATACCCCGCCCATCTGGCTGGGTTTCCCCACCCACTCTGGACGGCTCCCAATAGAATATTAAAAACACGATAAAACATCAAACATTAAAAACTTCCCTAAACAGGGTTGCCTTCAGATGTCTTCTAAAAGTCAGGTAGTTGTTTATTTCCTTGACCTTGGATGGGAGGGCGCTCCACAGGGCGGGTGCCAACACCAAGAAGGCCCTCTGCCTGGTTCCTTGTAATCTCACTTCTCGCAATGAGGGAACTGCCAGAAGGCCCTCAGAGCTGGACCTCAGTGTGTCCGGGCTGGACGATGGGGATGGAGACGCTCCTTCAGGTATAGTGGACCAAGGCCATTTAGGGCTTTAAAGATCAGCACCAACACTTTGAATTGTGCTCGGAAACATCGTGGGAGCCAATGTAGGTCTTTCAGGACCGGTGTTCTATGGTCTCGACGGCCACTCCCAGTCACCAGTGTAGCTGCCGCATTCTGGATTAATTGCAGTTTCCGGGTCACCTTCAAAGGTAGCCCCACGTGGAGCGCATGGCAGTAGTACAAGCGGGAGATAACCAGAACATGGACCACTCTGGCGAGACAGTCCGAAAGCAGGTAGGGTCTCAGCCTACGTACCTGATGGTTGCAGGTGTTATAAGAAAAAACTTCTCCCTCTCTCTTATGGGGTATTCCAGAGCCCATATGGAGTCCTTAAGTGGGTTCACTATAGGTAGGAGAAAATAACAGAGGCCAACCAGAGTATATTGAGAAGCAAAGCGGCTAGTAAGCCTGATCTTTATCAAAGGCAATAAACTGTTGCAACAGGGTCCCCACCCACCGCATGCAGGAGGGAGGAGGAACCCAGAACAATGATGCATAAGCCCATATAAAGACTTTTGAAATTGCCCACCCAGTAGCCCAAGACCACCCCCCACAACATCACACATACATCACAGAAGGAGGTGGTCCCTGGCAGAAATTTGAGAGTGTTGCTTCTCTCCTGTCTGCCAGTTACCTGGTAATAATACCTTACTGGATTGCATTTTCTGGGTAGCCTGGCTATTCCTTTGAGATGGTAAATACTTAGTTCCTGAATCTCTTAGGCATATTAATTATGTGTGTTCAGCTTAACATACACTTGCCAGGCTGTATTTGCAAAGGGAGATGTAAGCCCCTACAGTCCAAAGACAATTGGAAAGCTTTTCCCATTTCCTGCCTCCTTGCAGAGAAATATTTGAGGTCAATTTGGGAGAGTCAAAATGGCTTCAGGATTGCTCTCCTGTACTATTTCAGACACGTGGTTTATATACTTATGTATGTGTTTGCCTTGCACATTTATGCACATTTATTTTATATTTGGGGACGCGGGTGGCGCTGTGGGTTAAACCACAGAGCCTAGGACTTGCCGATCAGGAGGTTGGCAGTTCGAATCCCCGCGACGGGGTGAACTCCCGTTGCTCAGTCCCTGCTCCTGCTCACCTAGCAGTTTGAAAGCACATCAACGTGCAAGTAGATAAATAGGTACCACTCCAGTGGGAAGGTAAATGGTGTTTCTGTGTGCTGCTCTGGTTCGCCAGAAGAGGCTTAGTCCTGCTGGCCACATGACCCAGAAGCTGAACGCCGGCTCCCTCGGCCAATAAAGCGAGATGAGCGCCGCAACCCCAGAGTCGGCCATGCCGGCTCCCTCGGCCAATAAAGCAAGATGAGCGCCGCAACCCCAGAGTCGGCCACGACTGGACCTAATGGTCAGGGGTCCCTTTACCTTATTTTATATTTGAGACCTTAGAATTCTTATAACACAGGGTTTGGGAAGCACCTATACACAATTGTTGGCTGAGGAAGTTGACCCTTTGTCCGTTTCCCGCTGCAGGGCTGAAATTTGACATGAAGTACATGAATTTCCGCGTCAAAGCCTGCAACAAAGCTGTGGCGGGAGAGTTTTCTGAGCCGGTCACTTTGGAAACGAGAGGTGAGCATTCGCCGGGAAGGCCTGCCCTTGCAAAGACTTCCAGATTTGACCAGCGAGAGGGAACGCTGTTAAAATGGCAGCGTCAAAATGGGCAGGGTTTGTCGGCCAAATTAGAAACCCACCGCAGACCCACCACTTCTGGCCACAAACTTGTGGGACTTGTGGCTGGTCCTGGGCCTGAGAACAACCTTAGCCCTTCCCCCAAACAAAGGATAAATATTAGGAGATGTTTCTTAATGGTAAGTCTGTCTTGGGAGCTGGTAGGATCTTCTTCCTTAAGTAGAGGGCCAAGTTATTTCAGTGACAAACCAATACGGCATTTATAATCCATAAAATAATTGTTATTGTTGTTGTTGTTATTTATTACTTATAACCCACCCATCTGGCTGGGTTTCCCGCCCCACTCCGGGTGACTCCCAACAGAATATTTAAAAAAAGATAAAACATCAAACATTAAAAACTTTCCTAAGCAGGGCTGCCTTCAGATGTCTTTTAAAGATAGGATAACTGCTTATTTCCTTGACATCTGATGGGAGGGCGTTCCACAGGGAGGGTGCCACTACCAAAAAGGCCCTCTGCCTGGTTCCCTGTAACCTCACTTCTCGCAGTGAGGGAACCACCAGAAGGCCCTCGGAGCTGGACCTCAGTGTCCGGGCTGAACAATGGGGGTGGAGACGCTCCTTCAGGTATAGTGGACCAAGGCCATTTAGGGCTTTAAAGGTCAGCACCAACACTTTGAATTGTGCTCGGAAACGTACTTCAACATTAACAGAACAGCAGATAATCATCATCATCATCTAAGCACTGTTGAAACAGAGGCAAAATGAATTATGCTTGGACCATTGTGGATGCTCTAGTTGAGATTTCTGCATTTCACGGGTTGGACTGGATGACCCAACTCTATGATTCGATGACTCTCCAATGAATCGCTAGAACCCGCCTTTCTCTGCCCTCAGCTTTCGTGTACCGCCTTGATGCCACGACCAGCCACCAGAATCTCAAGGTAGAAGATGCCAGTGTGGAATGGGATGCCATGGGTGGGAAGGTGCAAGACATCAAAGCTCGCGAAAAGGACGGGAAGGGTCGTACTGCGTCGCCAGTTAACTCCCCAGCCAGGTAAGACCTCTTGCCTCTATCCTAGGCGTAGCGAACATGGTGCACTCCCGATATTGTTAGATACCAGCTCCCATGACAGCCTACGGACATACAGAGAGCCAGTGACCCATCAAGACCAGCATCCTGTTTTCACGGGGGCCAGCCAGGGGCCCATGGGAAGCAGGGACGTGGGTGGCGCTGTGGTCTAAACCACTGAGCCTCTTGGGCTTGCCGTTTGGAAGATTGGCGGTTCGAATCCGAACAGCTGGGTGAGCCCCCGTTGCTCTGTCCCAGCTCCTGCCAACCTAGTAGTTCAAAAGCATGTCAGTGCAAGTAGATAAACAGGTACCACTCTGGTGGGAAGGTAAACGACGTTTCCGTTTTCTGGTTTCTGTCACGGTGTCCCATTGCACCAGAAGCAGTTTAAGAATCCTATTCGGAATAAGGGAATTTCTCTTAAAAAAAGGGAAAAGTTGACAGCTATGCACCCAACCTTCCTATGGTCTTTCTAGGACGTGGATGGCGCTGTGGTCTAAACCACTGAGCCTCTTGGGCCTGGCGATCAGAAGGTCGGCAGTTCGAATCCCCACACAGCTGGGTGAGCCCCCGTTGCTCTGTCCCAGCTCCTGCCAACCTAGCAGTTCAAAAGCGTGCCAGTGCAAGTAGATAAATAGGTACCACTCTGGTGGGAAGGTAAACAGCGTTTCTGTGCGCTCTGGTTTCCGTCACGGTGTCCCGTTGCGCCAGAAGAGGTTTAGTCCTGCTGGCCACATGACCCGGAAATCTGTCTGCGGACAAATGCTGGCTCCCTCGGCCTGAAAACAAGATGAGCACCACAACCCCATAGTCGCCTTTGACTGGACTTAACCATCCAGGGGTCCTTTACCTTTTTACCTTTACCTAGACGGACCTATAGACTGGTTTAGTGTCAAGGCAGCTTTCTGTGCTCCTAAGAAGCCTTAATAGGCCAGAGATTGAAATCTTTGCTGCCCCTCTCCCCTGCAACAAATCTAGGTCCAAAATATTGGGTGCCTGTCTCAGAGTAGAGTTCTCTGCTACCTCTTTCCCCCCTCACTCTCTCCTTCCTCTCTTCAGGTGTGTTCAGTCTCCCAAAAGGATGCCCACGGGCCGCAGTGGAAGAGACCGCTTCACGGCTGAATCCTATACCGTGTTGGGTAAGAAGCTTCCCTGCCCAGAACTCCAGCTGCTTTTTGTGTTTTCATCGCTTTATTTTTTTGCTGTTTGTTCATCACCGGGGAGGTCTCAGGGCAGTTCACAGAAAAGATATATAAAGTCAAAATAGAAACAATAACCCATTAACACCCCCCTCCCAAAAAAGAACCACATTTTTAAAGGATGTCAATCAGGTCAACCAAAGGCCTGGTGCCTAAAGGTGTGTAATGAAGGCGCCAGGCGAACTTCTCTGGGGGGAGAGCATTCCACAGATGAGGAGCCACTGCAGAGAAGGCCCCGTTCTTGTGTTGCCACCCTCCACACCTCTCGAGGAGGAGGCACAGGAAGGAGTGCCTCAGAAGATGATCTCAGGGTCTGGGTAGGTTCATATGGAAAGAGGCGGTCCTTGAGGTATTGCAGTCCTGAGACATTTAAGACTTTATAGGTCAAAACCAGCACTTTGAAATGGGCCCGGAAACTCATTGGTAGCCAGTGCAGTTGGACCAGGATCAGTGTAATAGGCTCAAACCATCTTGCCTGGATTCTGACCGCTGAATTCTGCACCAGCTGAAGTTTCCGAACCGTCTTCAGAGGCCGCCCTGCGTGTAACGCATTGCAGTAATCTAACCTTGAGGTTACCAGAGCATAGACAACAGTAGTTAGGCCATCTCTGTCCAGATAGGGGCGTAGCTGGGCCAGCAGCCGAAGCTGATGGAAGGCACGCCAGGCCACTGAGGCCACCTGAGCCTTGAGCGACAGCAAAGGATCTAGGAGGACCCCCAAGCTATAAACCTTTTATTCAAGTTGGCACCTCTGTCCACAGAATACATTTAAAGTACTCGTGCTACTTTGGGAAAGGGTAAACAGCACTTCCAAGGATTGCCACATGCTTTCAACGTGCTTTAGATATGCGGTGCGGGTGGGATTTTACCGTACTTTCTTTTTTTAAAAAAATAATATTTATTAAAATTTCAAAAGAAAAAGATCACATTAATAAGAAAATTAACAATAAAAAGGAAAAATACAATATACAAAATACAAAAAAGAAAAAACAGTTAAAAACAATTCCATCTTTTCATCACTTCTTTTACATTTACTTATTTCCCGGACCTCCTCATACCTCCCTCTTTTGTATTCCAATTCAATATGTTAGTCCAGCAATTCCTTTCCCTCCTTTTTAATCCTGATCTTTAATCTTGATATATTATAACATTAAATTTTTACATATTAAAAACCAATTTTCCCATATTTTTTTATACCATTACCGCTAGAAACCGCTTAACTTCAATCCGTCATCATTCTAACATTCATTAATTTTACAATATTTCTGTAAGTAGTCTTTAAATTTCTTCCAATCTTCTTCCACCGACTCTTCTCCCTGGTCTCAGATTCTGCCAGTCATTTCCGCCAATTCCATATAGTCCATCATTTTCATCTGCCAGACTATACCGTACTTTCCGGTGTATAAGACAAGGGTTTTTTTTACTCTAAAATAAAGTTTAAAATTGGGGGACGGGCGTCATATATATATATATATATATATATATATATATATATATATATATATATATAGATTTTAACATATAAAGTATAAAATGTACCACAAAACTTATCACTTATACAATCTTTTTAGACTTCCATTAGCACCTCTGATGATCCACCGTTTTGACCGCTTCTTATGCATTTCTTAACTTTATATTGCCTTTACATCTCTTAACAAATCATCCTCCCCCTTCTCCATTTTTGCAATACTTCCAATAATACTCCTCACAAAACTTCTTGCAAACCTACAAACGTCGTCTGATCTTCACAAATACTTTTCAAATAGTCCGTAAATTTACTCCAGTCTTCCGTGAATTTCTGGTCTCGCCGGTTTCGAATCCTTCCTGTTAGTTTATCTAGTTCTGCATAGTCCATTAACTTCATCCTCCATTCTTCAATCGTCGGTAACTCTTCTTGCTTCCATTTTTGGGCCACTAATATTGTTGCTGCTGTAATTGCATATAAAAAGAGCTTACATTCCTTTCTATTTATATCACTCCCAACAATGCCCAATAAAAATGCTTCTGGTTTCTTTATAAATGTCTATTTCAACATTTTTTTCAACTCGTTATATATCGTCTCCCAGAAGCATTTCACCTTTTTACATTCCCACCACATGTGATAAAATGTTCCCTCTTTTCCTTTACATTTCCAACATTTATTACTGACTTTATACATTTTTTTCATCTCATTATATAACATCTCCCAGAGGGAGTCTTATACACAGATAGTGCATACACAGGATGGGCAATAGGTTGCAGCTGTGAGTAGGAGCTTTTCAGTGGCGATTGGGTAGGTGATTTGTGGCTGCAGCAAGGGCTGCTGTGGACCGACTGCCGCTGCAGCAATTGTGTGCGCGGTTTGCAGCTGCCAGCGCTTGTTTTCTTCTGCGACTCGTTTGTGAGCTGGGTGAGTGATTTTCGGCATTCCCCTCCAAAATAAAAAAAGTTCAACAACTCTGGGCCATCTCCCCCAACCCCCATTTTATAAAATGGAAGCCCCCCCAAAGTAAGGGGCGTCTTATACACGGGAAAATACAGTATTTGGGGAAGGCAGCTGAGGAGATCCCAAGTCTCGAACCCCAGCCTCGATCTGACGAACACCCCCTTCCTCTGCGTTGCAGGTGACACGCTAATTGATGGGGGAGACCACTACTGGGAGGTGCGATACGACCGGGACAGCAAAGCCTTTGCAGTTGGGGTGGCTTACCGGACTCTAGGCAAGTTTGACCAGCTGGGCAAGACACCTTCATCTTGGTGCCTCCACCTCAACAACTGGCTTCAAGTCAGCTTCACTGCCAAACACAACAACAAATCGAAAATCTTAGACGTACCAGTCCCGGACATCATTGGCATATACTGCAATTTTCACGAAGGTGAGATCTCATGAGCTGCTTCCGGAAAATAATAATTCCTTTCAGGCTCCCATTCCATATTTGTCCCCCTCTGAGCTAAGCAACGCAGCAAAGCAATTTGGGATGTGATACATACCGTATTTTTCGCTCCAAAAATTAAGGGGAAATGTGTGTGCATCCTATGGAGCGAATGCAGGCTCCTTGGCTTCAGCGATAGCAACTCAAAGCCTCCGAAGCGCAGAGGGAGAGCTCCCCCTGCACTCCAGAGGCTTCACGTTGCTTTTGCCGAAGCCTCCAGAGCACAGTGGGAACTTCTTCTGCGCTCCAGGGACTTCAGGCAACTATCCGCAGGTCTTCGGAGTGCAGCAGGAGTTCCCGCCGCGCTCTGAAGGCTTGCGGATAGCCGCCTGAAGCCTGGAGAGCGAGAGGGGTCGGTGCACACCGATTCCTCTTGCTCTCCATGCTTAGCTTCGCTGGAGAAGTGCTGCACAGTTTTCCCTCTCCGCGCAGCGCCCCTTCAGCAAAGCGGGAAGAGAAATGGAAGGGGCTCCGTTTCTCCTGCCACTTCACTGAAGGGGTGCTGAGCAGAGAGGGGGAGAATATTTTCCCCTGTTTTCCCCCTCCTATGCTCCGGTGCGTCCTATAGAGCGAAAAATACGGTAAGTAGCAGTCAAGTACAACATTTTTTGTTTTCCTAGAGTGGACATGCAAGGGGATGTTTGGTCCAGCCAGTCGGAACTTCCTGTTTCCTCCTGGGCTGGGACATACTTCCTTTGCATGTGACTAGAGGTGGGCGTGACCTTACCTGTTCAGGTAACAAAAGCACAAGGCACGCAACACTCTCTCTCTTTGACTTCCTCCGTCATTGGAGCAGCGTTTTAGCTAGAAATGCTCTGGTTTTTTAAATATATATATAATTTTTTATTAGTTTTTTTTATCATAGCTAGAAATGCTCTGTTGGCTGGAAGCCTAGGGCACAAATCTCTACAAACAGAATAACTATCCATGCCTGGTAGGAGCAGATTGACCCATAGCAGGTAGGAGCCCTCCAGATAAACTTAACAACTCCCATCAGTTTACTCTGGCTGCAAAGTTTCTGCTCCTTCCTGAATTAGCCATGGCAGTGATCCCAACCAATCAGGGATCCTATAGTGAATGGATACAACTGCTGGCACATTTGCAAAGCTAAGCAGGGTCCGGTGTGGTTTCAGATTGGATGGGGAACCGCTTTTTGAGATTCCTGCATTGCAGGGAGTTGGACTAGATGGGTCCCTTCCCGCTCGGTGATTCTCAGACATTGACATCGCCATGCATAAAACCAGTTCCAGTTTTATGGTGATATGCCGCCACCGATTTAAATACGAATGCAATTGACAGCAAGTGTGGACAGGACATTTGCAAGCCGATAATCATCAGCATACTTTCCAAGTGAAATTGGGACACACGTCTTTGAGAGCCACAGTCTTGTGGGAACCAGGTGACTTACATGAGAGCGCGTGTGGGAGCGTTCAGGGAGGCAGGAGAGGATATGTTGTTTATTGATATCCTTTCTAACTTGTGCTAGCAAGTTCTTTTACTTAGCAGAGTTTTACGTTCCCCTTTTAAACGCACAGCAGATAGCTGGTTGCAGGCTTGTGTAAGCCTCTCAATATCATACAATTCAGTATTGAATTGTATGTTCCTGGTAAGTTCCCTTTCTATCTCTCTTAAAAGAATATAGACATGACAATCTTATTTAAAGTCAACAGAAGAAGTTTACTTACAACATCAGTTCACAGCTGGATCCCTGAAGGCAGATTATGTGGGGATGTGGACATGCAGGGGGATGTATCCCATGTGGGGATAATCCCAGTGCATTTCTAGCTAAAATGCTGCTCCAATGACGGAGGAAGTCAAAGAGAGAGAGTGTTGCGTGCCTTGTGCTTTTGTTACCTGAACAGGTAAGGTCACGCCCACCTCTAGTCACATGCAAAGGAAGCAAGTTCCAGCCCAGGAGGAAACAGGAAGTTCTGACTGGCTGGACCAAACATCCCCCTGCATGTCCACTCTAGGAAAACAAAGAATGTTGTACTTGACTGCTACTTACGTATCACATCCCACAGCACAGCCCCTGAGAAACGGGCCTCTTTCGAGGCTGTGTTCTCGCGGGAGCTGTTAAGTACTGAGTTGAATAGGATCCAAACTGCAGCAGTCTGATTGGTCCTAGAACAATAGGATTCAGAATGCAGCAATTTGATTGGTCCTAGAACAATGCAGCAGTATGATTGGTTGGCAGGAACCACCCAATCATGCTCCAGATATAAGTGAATCCACAACCTGATTGGCTTACAGTAGAATTCCAGAATTAGCCAATCATGTGCAGCCCATTGTGTAAATAATGTATATAAAGCAGATACTTTGAGGGGACTTTCATTCATTCCTCCTCACCACTATGAGCTGAATAAAGAGCATGAAATCACTTTGCGACTCTGAGTATATTTCAGGAGCCAAAACGGGACATCCTGGGAGATCTGGGGTGTCCTGTGACAGTTGATGGGTACGCATCAGGCCATGGCAAAAACCTTATCACCTTCCATCTGCTAACCCTAAATACAGTGGAGACGCCTGCTTCTTGACTTCCTCCAGCAAGCATTGTTGGCGGAGGGACTCGGGGGGGGGGGGCTGGGCGGCGGTTTCGCCAGCAATGTGCCACTGAGTGGGGCTGACATTGCATTCTGCTCCTCATGCCAGTCCTGGGCAATGGGCACAGGTGGCGCTGTGGTCCAAACCACTGAGCCTTTGGGGCTTGTCGATTAGAAGGTCAGCAGTTCACATCCCCATGACGGGGTGAGCTGCCGTTGCTCGGTCCCTGCTCCTGCCAACCTAGCAGTTCGAAAGCACACATGGGGGGAGGGCTCAATAACTTTGGGCCATCTCCCCTCATTTTCTTAAAATTCAGTCCCCTAAAATAGGGGTGAGTCTTGTATATGAGGGCGTCTAATAGACGGAAAAATACGGTAACTCTTCGATCTGGTTCAGCTGGGTGTTTGTCATCTGCGCCCTTTGACCGGTTATTGCCTTTTCCTCTTGCCTCAAATGGATCCTTCCTGTGTTGTCCAATTTGCAGGTTTCCTCTCGTTCTACAATGCCAAAACCAAACAGCTCCTGCACACTTTCCGGGCCAAATTTTCCCAGCCCATCCTTCCGGCGTTCATGGTAAGAGTTTTGGAGTTTGTGCCTTTATCCGCTGGAGAAAAACAGCATTTGTTGGCGGAGTAGCTAAACTGCAGCTAGGAAGCCAAATCATGTGCAATGCTGACTCTTTCTTCGAAATTAGAACAATGTTCCGAACACTTGTTAAAATATTCAAAAGCTTTTGTACGCACAACATATAGGGAAAGAAATATATATGCAAATTATTGGCGTTCACATCAGGGCCGGATTCAGGTTTGATGAGGCCCTAAGCTACGGAAGGTAACGGGGTCCTTTATATGTCCAGCTGTCCTTTGTCAACAACAAATTGTCGCTGTTTTTTGTGTTGAATATATACTACATGGTCATTTATGGACCTCATAGGGATCTAAAGCCATTTGCACATCACAAAATATGTATTTTATCAAATGAATTGTTGAACTGAAATACAATTAAGAAGTATATTACAGTGGTACCTCGGGTTACATACGCTTCAGGTTACAGATGCTTCAGGTTACAGACTCCGCTAACCCAGAAATAGTGCTTCAGGTTAAGAACTTTGCTTCAGGATGAGAACAGAAATCGTGCTCCGGCAGCGCGGCAGCAGCAGGAGGCCCCATTAGCTAAAGTGGTGCTTCAGGTTAAGAACAGTTTCAGGTTAGGAACGGACCTCCGTAACGAATTAAGTACTTAACCTGAGGTACTACTGTATTTCAGACCTTAGAATTCTTATAACACAATCCAAATCATGCAAACACACAGAAACAAAACGGACAATGTCATGAGATACCTCCCATGAGAGTCCAGGGGTCAGCAAACTTTTTCAGCCGTGGGCCGGTTCACTGTCCCTCAGACCTTGTGGGGGGGGGGGCGCAGACTGAAATAGTACAGGAGGGCAATCCTGAAGCCATTTTGACTCTCCCAAATTGACCTCAAATGTTTCTCTGCAAGGAGGCAGGAATTCCTATGCCCCACAAATAACCCAGGGATGCATTGTAAATAAAAGGACACAATGTAAAAACATGCTGCTTCCTAGACCATCCACAGGCCAGATTTAGAAGGCGATTGGGCCAGATCCGGCCCCTGGGCCTTAGTTTCCCTACCCATGCACGAGACCAAAATTAACTGTTCACATGAGAGTTACTGGGAAACATTCTGCAATTAATGCATTTAAGCATTCCTAACGTTCACTATCTCCTGCCAACCTAGCAGTTCGAAAGCACGTCAAAAGTGCAAGTAGATAAATAGATACCGCTCCGGCGGGAAGGGAAACGGCGTTTCCGTGCGCTGCTCTGGTTCGCCAGAAGCGGCTTAGTCCTGCTGGCCACATGACCCGGAAGCTGTACGCCCCGGCTCCATTGGCCAGTAAAGCGAGATGAGCGCCACAACCCCAGAGTCGGCCACGACTGGACCTAACGGTCAGGGGTCCCTTTACCTTTAACGTTCACTATACTTAACGCAGATTCCCTTTTCCTAATGCCCTGGCTATTTTCCCTCTTTTATGTTAGGTCTGGTGTGGCAGCTTCCATGTCTACTCGGGTTTGCAAGTCCCCAGCGCCATCAAATGCCTTCAGAAGAGAAACAGCGCGACGAGTAGCTCCAACGCCAGCCTGTCTTAGAAACGTGCTCCTTCCCTCATTTTGCAGGATTGGGACCCTCTGGCCGCAAGAGAGGCCTTGGGCAACTCCCAGCTGAATAAGGAAGCAGACTCTTAACTACAAATGTTGTGGGTTTTTTGGTTTTTTTGTGTTTTCAATAACGGTTTGCACCACCCTCCCAGGCGCTCTTGACCCGTGTCAAAGCACTGGGGTTGGGGGGTGGACTTTTGCTTAAAACACGCTCACGCCATGAATGTATTATATCGTTTTATCCGCCTACGATTGTAAACACGTTGTCAATTAAGGGGAGTGGGGCTCCCCACCACCACCACCACACCAAATCTCCACTTTTGCCTTCGACGAGATGTGGGGCAGAGGGTTTTGCATGGTCAGAAACGTATGGAAAAGGCTGGGGGGGGGAGAGAAAGAAAAGACCACCCCGCAAGGCTACCGCGTGTACAGCCCATGCCGTGTTTTGTTCCGGTTTAGTTTTTTGAAAGACATTCTGCGGCGACTCGGTCCAAATTCTGACGTTATGCAAATGAAACGAAGTAGCACAGAGCCCTGACGTTGCATAATTTGTTTGCAGGGGGGTGGGCAAGGGATAGCGCAGGCTGTGAATGGGGTCGGCGGGCCCGCACCGCTGCCTATTTGCTTTTTAAAGTCTTTGGCAAGGGCTGGCGCACCCAGGGCAGGGCAGCTGTCTACCAGCTCCATCTGGTACGCAGGCTGAGACCCTACCTGCCCGAGGACTGTCTCGCCAGAGTGGTGCATGCTCTAGTTATTTCTCGCTTGGACTATTGCAATGCGCTCTACGTGGGGCTACTTTTGAAGGTGACCCGGAAACTACAACTAATGCTGCGGGTTAAACCACAGAGCCTAGGACTTGCCAATCAGGCAGTTCAAATCCCTGTGACGGGGTGAGCTCCCGTTGCTCGGTCCCTGCTCCTGCCAACCTAGCAGTTCGAAAGCACGTCAAAGTGCAAGTAGATAAATAAGTACCACTCCGGCGGGAATGTAAACGGCATTTCCGTGTGCTGCTCTGGTTCGCCAGAAACGGCTTAGTCATGCTGGCCACATGACCTGGAAGCTGTACGCCGGCTCCCTCGGCCAATAAAGTGCGATGAGCGCAGCAACCCCAGAGTCGGCCACGACTGGACCTAATGGTCAGGGGTCCCTTTACCTTTACCTTTAATATTGGGCCACATCCCGTATCACATAGTAAGGTCTCCTCTGATTGGCAGAAGTCTTTTTTTAAAGGGGAGCTGTCGGGAACTGAACCCGGAACCTTGTGCAATACAAAGCCGGTGTTCAGCCTCCTCCAGCACGAACCAATTTGTACCAAGTTGTATTATTTGTCCCTCTGGCTCAGTACTGTCAAGACTGAGCAGCCAAGTCCTCTGCAAGGAGTATTTCCCAGTCCAACCTTGCAACGAGGCTGGATTTGAATCTGGAACCTTGCAGCTGCCCTCCCTCTCTTTTAAGGAACAACAGCTCATTTTAGAGCAGACTGAACAAGCAACACGTCGGCTAATAATATACTGACAACGTTTTTATAACAGTATACCGTTTCAAATTTCATAAGCAGAAGACATATAATATGTGCATAGAGTCACAAACTAAAAAGAATCAAATAAATGTTTCGTGAACAGGAATGGTAGGGGTGGTAAGTCACTGTCAAAGATCACTGAAATGGAGGCATAATAATAATAATAATAATAATAATAATAATAATAATAATAATTTATTATTTATACCCCACCCATCTGGCTGGGCTTCCCCAGCCACTCTGGGCAGCTTCCAAAAAAATATTAAAATACTGTAATACATCAAACATTAAAAGCTTCCCCAAACAGGGCTGCCTTCAGATGTCTTCTAAAAGTTTGGTAGTTGTTGTTCTCTTTGACATCTGGTGGGAGGGCGTTCCACAGGGCGGGTGCCACCACCGAGAAGGCCCTCTGCCTGGTTCCCTGTAACTTGGCTTCTCGCAGCGAGGGAACCGCCAGAAGGCCCTCGGTGCTGGACCTCAGTGTCCAGGCTGGACGATGGGGGTGGAGATGCTCCTTCAGGTCTACTGGACCAAGGCCGTTTAGGGCTTTAAAGGTCAGCACCAACACTTTGAATTGTGCTCACAAACGCACTGGGAGCCAATGTAGGTCTTTCAATGTAGGTCTTGGCGGCCGCTCCCAGTCACCAGTCTGGCTGCCGTGTATAGAATGCCTTTAGTCTAGAATGCCTTTCCACAGTCTATATCCTACAAATATGAGATGATGGGTGCTCCAAACGTCGCAAGCACAGCAGCAGACAGTACGGTTCTTCCAGGATAATGAACTGTTTCAATGATAAATCTTCACCAGTGAATTAATAACCCCCCAAAGGTACATCAGGGACGCGGGTGGCACTGTGGGTAAAACCTCAGTGCCTAGGACTTGCCGATCGTATGGTCGGCGGTTCGAATCCCCGCGACAGGGTGAGCTCCCGTTGCTCGGTCCCTGCTCCTGCCAACCTAGCAGTTCGAAAGCACATCAAGTGCAAGTAGATAAATAGGGAGCGCTCTGGCGGGAAGGTAAACGGCGTTTCCGTGTGCTGCGCTGGTGCTGGCTCGCCAGAGCAGCTTTGTCACGCTGGCCACATGACCCGTAAGTGTCTCCGGACAGCGCTGGCCCCCGGCCTCTTAAGTGAGATGGGCACAACCCTAGAGTTGGACACGACTGGCCCGTATGGGCAGGGGTACCTTTACCTTTAAAGGTACATCAAATGGCCTTGGATCAGCTATCACTAAAAAATGTAGCAAGCCAATCAGAAACATTGCTGTTTGGAACGTGGTCAGTGGCCCTGAGACCCTTTAAAATGACAACATCCCTGACTGACTGCTCAAAAGCTCCCTCTGGTTTTTGATCATGCATTTATTACGGTTTGTGCTCGATATGCCATTGGGGAGGTCAGATGTGCTCCCGATTTCAGCACTGTTTCTTCCTGCCAAAGTTTGGTCAGCAATTGGTCAGTTGCATATCCTGCAACTCCCTGCTGCAATCCCATGACCTCTTTTACACCACAAACGTTTTGGTTTATTTTTGTCCCTCCCCCCCCCTTTTGTTGCCCTACCTGGACAGCAGTCATATGGTGGCAAAATGGGGGGACCATTGCAGAACAGAGTACCTCCTTAATCTACAAGCTTGTAGAGTTGTTGGTTTGTTTTTTTAGGAAACGACTCTTTCATACCACGCAACCAGCTTCCAGCCTTAACAATAAATTTCAGGTTTCTGCACAACCCAGCGGCGTCTGAGGATTTGTGGGGTTCTTAGAGCGAATTCAAGTGACTTCTCTACCACATTGTCTTTTTGTTTTGAATCGCCGCTTCCAAAAAAATATTAAAATATATCAAACATTAAAAGCTTCCCTAAACAGGGCTGCCTTCAGATGTCTTCTAAAAGTTTGGAGAAGTCCAACTGCGGCTATTGGGACGACAACTGGGCCAGGTAAAGCAAAGCCTCTTCAGGCCATCTAAAGGTCCCCCCAAAATATAGTCCAGCCCCCCCTCCAGAAGCTGGGCTCTGCCCTCACCGGTCCTGGAAGGACCCTTTTAAAAAGTCCCATATGCTCAGAGACTTTGCGTGGCGATTCCCGCCCCCTCCCACAGATGGAATAAATAAAGACACCGGACACCGGAATTTAGGTTAACGGGGGGAAATGGCCACAACTTTATTGATTACAGGTAAGAGCGGTATTGGCTTTAGGCATTGGCCCTAGCAGACTATCCGGTCTAACCGGTGTTACGGTAAAATCTGGGTGCGGGGTTACTCTGCCACCCAGCTCGTCGGACTAAGTCCGCGGGTCCCTGCGGAAGAAAATGAGCTCAGCCGGAGACAGGAGCAAGCTACAGAAGATCCGAGTTTATTGCGCAACAGGTTCAAGGCGAGATTGAACAGCGAGAAAGGGGTGACATGAACTTTTGAAATTTCCCTCCATGTCCCAGAATACAGTGCAAAATACATCCCAGTTACATCATGAATACATTAAGAAGAGGTTGGGTTACACAGATTACATCACGAATACATTAGGAAGAGGTTGGGTTACACCGGATTAACATATGGAGGAGGGAGGGGGGAATATGCAGAGCTGGAGATATGCGCAGATAAGCACATCCTGAGAAGACAATGGTCCATGTATGCATAGTCTGTCACCTGGCATCGCCCGGAGGAAGGGCTTGGCAGAGCAATTTGACAGGATTAGGGTCTTGACACCTTGCTTGAGGGATTATGGAGGACAGGGGAGGTGTCATGGAGTCCTAGAGAAATTGAGCAAATTGGCACGTTGATTTTCTATGAATTTTATAGATTTTAGTCCCTTTTGACATTGACAATTGGAAATAAATGGATATATTGTAGCGAAGAAGAAGGTGAAGAAGACATGCCCCCCCCCTTCCGTATCACCGGGAAGGGTTAAGCACCAACAGGGGGAGCCCCCGAGATGCACATCCCTAGGCGCTCCCCAAGGGGTTACCGCTCGGGAGCGCGCTTTAGGCCCTAGCCTCCGTAGGTTTCGGACGAGGCAACGCCCCCCGGAGTCCGTTAACAGACTACCCTTCAAGATTTGGGGGAGGTGATGGCGTTCCTCCCCCCCCAACTTCATTTGCATGACAATACCCCTGCCAATGCCTAACCGCCAAAACCGAGGAGTTGTGACATTTTGCTACGAGGTAGGCGAAAAAACCAAGTGGCTTTTAAAATACAGCCAATTAGCCAAATGGAAAAACTCCTACCAGGCCCCTTGCGGCGACCAGCCGAAGCCCATAGCAAAGTCCGAAAGCAAATCTAGAGGGTGGGTGGGTGGGAAACCGCAGCTGCTGTAGGAAAGAAAAGGGGCGAGCCAGGGCTGCTCCGACCTTAAGAGCTCCTGGTAAGCCTGCCCCTAGCGCCCGCCGATTGGCTGGCGCTGAGGGCAATGAATATTAATGAGACGGGGGAATCCCCGAGTCCCGCGGGGCTGGCACCAGCCCTGCGAGATTGTAGATGGGGGCGTGAGCCCGCAACCCCCCCCCCTTTAGGTCGGGAGTGGCTTTGCGCCTCTTCATTGGGAGAGATAGGAAGCCCAGGGCACTTGTTCTTTAGATGTCCCTTTTATGAAGAGGCACGGAATGAGACCATTGATCCCCTGCTAGTGAGGCTCGCTGACCTCCGGGAAAAGCAAAAATGTGACCTTTTCCTGTTAGGCAAAGATCATAAGACGACCCGGATGGTCGCCAGATTCTGTGTAGACGCAGACCATCCCCAGACCCAAACTAGTTTGTTAAGAAAATCCCCAAACTCGGTTCCATGGGTGACTCTGGGTCATCTCTCTGCGGTAGTTTATCTTAAAGTTTTAAGTGTCTATACGCTTATCGCATTTATAAATTTTAAATTTATTGTTGTACATTGTTTTATCCCTTCTGGGATTGTACCCCCAAGTGTGTTTTATAAGCTGGTCTCTGACCGTAATAAATTATCTATCTAGTCCGGCCCCCCACAACGTCTGA